CAAACTGGCTTGGACCAGTTCAAACTGGCCTAAACCGGTTAAAACCAGTCTGAACCAGTTTCAACTTGCTCGGACCGGTTTAAACTGGCCTAAACTGGTTCAAACCGGTTTGAACTGGTTTCAACCAGCTACGACAGATTCAAACTGTCCTAAACCGCTTCAAACTAGCCTAAACCGGTTCCAACCGGCTTGGACCAGTTCAAACTGGCCTAAACCGGTTCAAACCGGTCTGAACCGGATCCAACCAGCTTGGACCGGTTCAAACTGGCCAAAACCGGTTCAAACCGGTCTGAACCGGATCCAACCGGCTTGGACCAGTTCAAACTGGCCTAATCCGGTTCAAAGCGGTCTGAACCAGATCCAACCGTTTTGGAACGGTTCAAACTGGCTTAAACCGGTTCATAGTGGCCTAAACCTGTTCAAACCGGTCTGAACCGGTTCCAACCGGCTTGGACCGGTTCAAACTGGCCTAAAGCGGTTCAAAGTGGCTTTAACCGGTTCAAACCGATCTGAATTGGTTCCAACCAGCTTTGAGTGGTTCAAACTGGCCTATACGGGTTCAAACTGCTCTGAACCGGATCCAACCAGATTGGACCGGTTCAAACCGGCTTGGACTGGTTCAAACTGGCTTAAACCGGTTCAAAGTGGCCTAAACCAGTTCAAACCGGTCTGAACTGGTTCCAACCGGCTTGGACCGGTTCAAACTGGCCTAAAGTGGTTCAAAGTGGCCTTAACCGGTTCAGACCGATCTGAATTGGTTTCAACCAGCTTTGAGTGGTTCAAACTGGACTAAACCGTCTCAAACTGCTCTGAACCGAATCCAACCGGTTGGACCAGTTCAAACCGGCTTGGACCAGTTCAAACTGGCTTAAACCGCTTCAACTAGCCTAAACCGGTTCAAACCAAGCGGCTTGGACTGGTTCAAACCTGTCTGAAATGGTTTCAACCAGCTAGGACCAATTCAAACTGTCCAAAACCGCTTCAAACTAGCCTAAACCGGTTCAAACCGGTCTGAACCGGTTCAAACCAGCTTGGACCGGTTCAAACTGGCCTAAACTGGTTCAAACCGGTCTGAACCGGTTTCAACTTGCTTGGACCGGTTCACACTGGCCTAAACCAGTTCAAACCGGTCTGAACCGGATCCAACCGGCTTGGACCGGTTCAAACTGGCCAAAACCGGTTCAAACCGGTTTGAACCGGATCCAACCGGCTTGGACCAGTTCAAACTGGCTTAAACCGGTTCAAAGTGGCCTAAACCTGTTCAAACCGGTCTGAACCGGTTCCAACCGGCTTGGACCGGTTCAAACTGGCCTAAAGCGGTTCAAAGTTGCCTTAACCGGTTCAAACCGATCTGAATTGGTTCCAACCAGCTTTGAGTGGTTCAAACTGGCCTATACTGGTTCAAACTGCTCTGAACTGGATCCAACCAGATTGGACTGGTTCAAACCGGCTTGGACTGGTTCAAACAGGCTTAAACCGGTTCAAAGTGGCCTAAACCAGTTCAAACCGGTCTGAACTGGTTCCAACCGGCTTTGAGTGGTTCAAACTGGCCTAAACTGCTTCAAACTACCCTAAACCTGTTCAAACTGGTCTGAAGTGGTTCCAACCGGCTTAGACCGGTTCAAACCGGCTTGGACTGGTTCAAACTGGCTTAAACCGGTTCAAAGTGGCCTAAACCGGTTCAAACCGGTCTGAACCGGTTCAAACCAGCTTTGAACGGTTCAAACCGGTTTAAACTGGCCTAAACCGGTTCCAACCGGTCAGAACTGGTTTCAACCGGCTAGGACCGATTCAAACTGTCCTAAACCGCTTCAACCTGGCCCAACCTGGTTCCAACCGGTCTGAACCGGTTCCAACCAAATTTGACCCGTTCCAACTGGCTTAGACCAGTTTCAAGAGTTCTGGACCAGTTCCATCCAGCTTGGAGAAGTGCAAACAGCTTTGACCGGTTCAAACCGGCTTGGACTGGTTCAAACTGGCTTAAACCGGTTCAAAGTGGCCTAAACCGGTTCAAACCGGTCTGAACTGGTTCCAACCGGCTTGTACCGGTTCAAACTGGCCTATACCGGTTCAAAGCGGTCTGAACCTTATCCAACTGTCTTGGAACGGTTGAAACTAAACCGTTTCTAACTGGCCTAAACCTGTTCAAACCGGTTTGAACCGGTTCGAACCAGCTTTGAACGGTTCAAACTGGCTTAGACCGGTTTAAACTGGCCTAAACCGGTTCAAACTGGTCTGAACCGGTTCCAACTGGCTTGGACCGGCTTAAACTGGCCTAAACCGGTTCAAACCGGTCAGAACTGGTTTCAACCGGCTAGGACCGATTCAAACTGTCCTAAACCGGCTTGGATCGGTTCAAACTGGCCTAAACCAGATCAAACTGGCTTAAACTGGTTCAAACTGGCCTTGACCGGCTCAAACTGGCCTAGACCAGTTCAAACCGGCCTAGATCGGTTCAAACTGGCTTCGACCGGCATAACTGATTGGCTTGCAGCAGCAGCCCAAACAGATCCCAGGAGGAAGTTAATCAACCTATTAGGCTGGTAGGATCGTAGAATGTAACAACTGATTGGCCTGCAGTACCAGCCAGGAGGGAAGCAGAAGCAGCCAATCAGACATTGCGTAAATAATGTATATAAAAGCCTGAGGTTTGGGGGGGAATTCAATCACTGTTTTACAAGCTGCAATAAAGAGGATGAAATCACTGCAGGACTCTGAGTATATTTCACAGGGGAAGAAAAAAAACTACAGAAATAAAGGCAATGCTATTTGCAAAGGAATGGTTTGAATTGGATCCTAATGGAAAGACAGACCATAGCGAAGGAAATGGTTGGCACAATCAGAAGAGCAGAGCAACAGGAGTACACCTGGGAAATTGCACAGCTATTCCATCAGGTTAAAAATAAAAGCCAGATATTTCAAACTGGGGGGGGGGGGGTGAGAGATCCTAAAGTCGGACAGTGAAGACACAAGAGCAGCATGTTTTATATACATCTTGTAGGTGCCCCATAACAAGTGATGGACAAAGTAAGATCATTTCTTGACCAAGTCCCAGTGTGAAAGGAACAAGCTTTGTCAGCCCTTAAGTAAATTTAACATTGCAGCCTATTAACTTTGCTCCATAAAACTTAGTGGGAGCCAAAATGATGGGTTGACCTCTTGCATATTTTTTTGGTGTTTTTGTTTGTTTGTTTGTTTGTTTTACATTTCTGCCTTCGAGTTTGATTTTAGGCAAGGGAAAGAATGTCTTTGGGGTTCAGGTCCTTCATTTTAAAGGTGTCATGGAAATACTGCTGCTTTGAAATTTTGCAAGCTCTATTTTACTAAATTGTTTGATTATTATTAATTTTTTGTATTTGTAGTGTCCTTTGTGATCACCCTTCAGGGCCTTTCCCACCATCAGTATGCAGATAACACCCAGCTCTACCTCTCTTTTAAATCAGAACCAGTGAAGGCGGTGAAGGTCCTGTGTGAGATCCTGGAGGATGGATGGCGGCTAACAGATTGAGGTTGAATCCTGACAAGACAGAAGTACTGTTTTTGGGGAACAGGGGGCGGGCGGGTGTGGGGGACTCCCTGGTCTTGAATGGGGTAACTGTGCCCCTGAAGGACCAGGTGCGCAGCCTGGGAGTCATTTTGGACTCACAGCTGTCCATGGAGGCACAGGTCAATTCTGTGTCCAGGGCAGCTGTCTACCAGCTCCATCTGGTACGCAGGCTGAGACTCTACCTGCCCGCAGACTGTCTTGCCAGAGTGGTGCATGTTCCAGTTATCTCCCACTTGGACTACTGCAATGCGCTGTACGTGGGGCTACCTTTGAAGATGACCCGGACAATGCATTTAGTCCAGAATGCGGCAGCTAGACTGGTGACTGGGAGTGGCCGGCGGGACCACTTAACACCGGTCCTGAGAGATCTGCATTGGCTCCCAGTACGTTTCTGAGCGCAATTCAAAGTCTTGGTGCTGACCTTTAAAGCCCTAAACGGCCTCGGTCCTGTATACCTGAAGGAGCGTCTCCACCCCCATCGTTCAGCCCGGACACTGAGATCCAGCGCTGAGGGCCTTCTGGCGGTTCCCGCATTGCAAGAAGTGAGGTTACAGGGAACCAGGCAGAGGGCCTTCTCGGTAGTGGCGCCCAACCTGTGGAACACCCTCCCTTCAGATGTGAAGGAAATAAGCAGCTATCTTCTCTTTAAAAGACATCTGAAGGCAGCCCTGTTTAGGGAAGTTTTTAATATTTAATGCTGTATTGTTTTCAACACTCGATTGGAAGCCGCCCAGAGTGGCTGGGGAAACTCAGCCAGATGGGCGGGGTATAAATAATTTATTAATTTATTATTATTAACCTCCTGGATCTCAGAAAATACAGATAAATCCTGCTCAAGGAGAAAGCAAGAAGCCTCAGGAGAGAAGAGTGCTGTTACACTCAGATCCTTATTATAGGCTTCCAATGGGTGCTGAACTTAAGATGAACCACTGGCCTAATCCATGAGGCTCTTATGTTATTAAGAAAACACCCTCAGCAACGCTCCTTGGATATGCAACCACATGAACTCAGCTGTAGCTATTTGTGCAGAGATCTAAAAAAGTAAAGAGGCGGCAAGTTCAGCTGCTTTGTGGTAGGGCATCTTCTTGCAGACTGGCAGGGCTATTGTAAACCTAAGATTGCAAACATCTCAAACAATGGCCCTGGTGCGCTTTTGCCAGTCTCTTTTGCCTAGGAGTCCTTCTTCTCCTTGGATGACACCGATCCTTCTCTTGTTGGAAAATGAATTAATATTTTTTTCCCCTTTCCACATTTACTCAAAAGCTCCTGTAGGAATGCTCGGGCTCCTGCCTGTCTTCAGGCCTCGTGTTTGGAGATGAAGTAATGGAAAATGAGATTCCCGCGAGGCCGGGAGGCGATATGTCCAGAGACAAAAGGCTGCTGCCACGTGAAAGCCACCGTTATCTCACGTAAATGCTTTTTTTCTCGTTTCATAGGAAGATCCTAGGAGGAAGGGCTGTGGCTTTTTGGTAGAGCATCTGTTATGAATGCAGAAAGCCCAGGTTCAAGTCCTGGCGTGTCCAGGTGAACACTGCCTGAAACCCTGCACAGCCCCTGCCAGTCAGTGTAGACAATATTAGATGGAATACCAACAGTGTGACCAACAGTATAAGGCAGCTTTCTGTGTTCCCCTGGTGAAAATAAGGGGTCTTCTGTAACTTCAGGATCAAAATATCACGTTGGGTGTCTTAAAGCAGCAAAACTAGTGCCTTAGGAACTTGAACTATTTTTACAACTTTACAGAGGCCAGCCTCCAAAGAATGAGAAATATTTCTGCTACCGCAGAGCAAATTCTTGTTTTCTTATCATAACGGCAAACCTGGGAATGCACAAAGTAACCTACAGTACAGGGAGCATGAAGCGAAATTCAGCAGAAATCACACCCCTGCAACACGCTCTCTGTCTCTGCTTCATCACACAGTGACTTTTGTTACCCCACCAACCAGTGCAGGGAAACTCACAATGAGAAAATGCCAAAATGTTGTAGGAGGAGGACTATTTGCCATTTTTAGGAGCATCCCTGTGGTGGGTGGAACTTCTGTTCCTTCTCAAAATATGACTGGCTGCTAATCAGGGGGATGCTAATCTATTCGTAACAAGTAGTTTTATTCTTGCCTTAGGGACTCGTGGTTTTGAATTGGGAATAGACAGCAGTACTTATGCAGAAAGCATACATACATTTCCCCAACCTTTCCTCAAGCCTGGAGGTCCCTGCCACTGGGATTTCTTTCTTCACCTAAACCATAACAAACAAGGGTTGGATGGCCATCTGTCATGGATGCTTTAGCCAAGATTCCTGCATTGCAGTGGGGTGGACTAGATCCTTTCCAGCTCTACAATTCTAAAGGTAAAAAAGGCGAAAGTCCCCTGGATGGTTAAGTCCAGACAAAGGTGACTCTGGGGTTGTGGCGCTCATCTCGCGTTTCAGGCCGAGGGAACCGGCGTTTGTCCACAGACAGCTTTCTGGGTCATGTGGCCAGGAGGACTAAACTGCTTCTGGCATAACGGGACACTGTGACAAGTGCCAGAGTGCACAGAAATGCCATTTACCTTCCTGCCTATTTATCTACTTGCACTGGTGTGCTTTCCAACTGCTAGGTTGGCAGAAGCTGGGCCAGAGCAACGGGAGCTCACCCCGTTGTGCAGATTCAAACCACCGACCTGATCGGCAAGCCCAAGAGACTCAGTGGTTTAGACCACAGCCAATTCTATGATTCAGTGAAACAACTATTCTTCCCTGTTTGCCATTTCTGGAAATATCCTGTTGACATATGCTCAATGATGCATTGGGCAAAGTAATTTTCCTATTCATACATACCCAGTTTTGATTGTTCAGCCATAGATAAGGAAGTGCTTCTTAGTAAACAAACAATAAGGTTTTTCTCCCTAAATACCTCCAGTGCTAGGGCAGCTATTGATTAGAGGAAGAGTCACCAAACTTTTTGGACCAGTGGGCAAATTTGGAATCCCCCACCAATGGCCGCTGGAGGGGAGGGCATGGAGTAAAACAAAGGTGCTGCCTCATCTAAACAAGAGAAAAAGACAGAACCACAAAATTAAATGGGCATGGGGGGGAATCACCTACGGCAGCCACAAGCACGCTGGCTCATGGAAAACACCTCTTTCCTGTCCATCTCCATCACAGAAGCGTAGGTATCCAGTTCTGGTATTCACTGAAATAATGGGATGCTTGTGTGTGTGTTCAATGCTGCAGAGGCAGCATAAACCAGATTTGAGTGGGAAGAGCAGACAACCTCTTGTACAATGAGAATTTTTGAGTGGTTTTTGTGGATTTGAACATGACTTTTTATGGGCACATACTGGCAGGCACACTGGCGTCGGCTCATGCTGAATTGGAGACCCTCTGCATTAGAGAATGTTTATGGCAGGAAGGAGCATACTTGTCCTCGCAGTTTGCCGGATGGCGACACACCTGCTTACAAGGGATGCCGTATATATGATAAGGAAGCAGAGGTGTGGGCCCCTGGGGGGGGGGATACATGTATATAGCTGCTTCATGCATACACCCAATCTACATGACCTTTCCCTGCCCTCTGCCAAGGGAAATGGGTTGCAGATCAAATGTATGCAGTATCACTCATGCCAAACATTGCCATGGATGCAGAAGGAGGAGAAATGGGTGCCTGCTCCTCCATCTAACATTCCCAGCCTTTACTTCACAATTTTTGTTTTTTAAAAAAGCAGCACAGGGAAGAACAGATATTAGATCATCTAATTTACACCAGCTTCAGTGTTGTTAACATGTAACACGGAGCTGTTTTCTGATGTAATGCCCCATAGTGCAAGTTGCAGGATTTGGCTTATACAACTGTATTTGGTATGTAATTAAAAAGCTAAACCTACCCTGACGGGAGGGGGGGGGGGAGGGAGAAGGGAATGACTTATTAAGTAGCTTAAATAACCACAAGAAAGTGCAAACAACATTCCTAATGAAGAAAAAAAAGGTTAGATTACGCAAGATAAAATGAAAAATGAAACAGCTTGGAATACTTTAAAAAAACCAAACCCGTTTTGTTAAACGCTCCCAAGCAACAAGTATTGGATAATGTATTTTATTCTCCTTTTTATCAGAACTTCATCTTAATGACCCTGCACAGGGCAGACTTACGCCACTTGTAGCAACAGCTGTGCAGAAAGGCATAATGGCCACCTTTCACATCCAGTAATCCAACTACCATTTTTCCGTGGTGTCAATCCATGCGAGGGGTGCATGGATACAGCAACTGTGTGGGTAGTGCCAACTGCACAGGTCTTTCCTACCAGGTCAGCATGCAGTTGGGCACACTTGCGTGAGCTTTCCGTAGCCACTCTGGCACACCCTACACGTTTACGATAGTCATACACACCTGCAAAAATGCACCACCAGGAAGCACCTCTCGTGCAGCGGCCATCAAATAAGATGTGGGAAAAGAGAAGGGAGAATTAACACACATCAAAATCACAGGCGCATAGTAGGCAGACAAGCCTCAAAACATCTAATTTCTGGGCAAGGAGTTTTAGTGTGAAGTAGCAACTGGACTCTAGGAACAAGAGCATTTACATAGATCTGTTTCAGCTGTTTTGGGACGGAGAGAATATGGGTTGCTCTGATGGGTTATTTACCGTATTTTTCGCTCCATAAGATGCACTGTTTTCCTCCTAAAAGGTAAGGGGAAATGTGAGTGCATCTTATGGAGCGAATGGCACTGCACAGAGAGGGAGAGCTGCGCAACGCTCGTTCAGCGAAGCGGGAGGAACAGAAGGAGACCCTTCTGTTCCTCCTCCCGCTTTGCTGAAGGGGCGCTGTGCAGTTCTGCCTCTCTGCGCAGCGCCCCTTCAGCGACGCCCGTCCTGGCTTCTGCCTTAGCTGCGCTCTGCCTCTTCTGGCAGGGGGAGCCTTCATCCCGCTGCCCTGAAGAGGCTTGGCACGGTTATCCCAGAAGCCAGAACAGCCACACGGTATCCCAGAAGCCAGATCTCTCTTGCTGTTCTGGCTTCTGGGATTCAGAAGAATTTTTTCTTATTTCTCTCCTCCCAAACCTAGGTGCGCCTTATGGTCTGGTGCGTCTTATGGAGAGAAAAATACGGTACTCAGAAGCCAGACAGAGAGAGTGCACCCATTAGTCCTGCTGGTGCTGTAACTCTCAGCAGCACTAACCTGGAGCTGTTCTAGAATGCTTCTAGACCATAAGCCTAGGATAGGCACACTGTTCCGCAGTCCTTGCTGGGGCACAGGCTTTGGATGTGGCACTGGGAGACTTCTATTTGACACCAAAGGAATTGGCATATAGATGCTTTTTTATCATCAATATGAAATGGGTGCAAAGGGGACAGGGATCAGAGACTTCAGGTTCAGTGTCACCAGCCTGTATATAGTGTCGCTATCTCTTTTTTCCATCATAAATCAGGAAGAGCCATAGCTGAGTGGTGAAGCATCTGTTTCACATGCAAGAAGTTCCAGGTCCCTGTCTGAAATGCGGGAGAGCTGCTGTCAGTCAACAGAGACAATATTGAGCTGGATATGGAGGCAGGCTAACAAAATCCAGGCTTAATCCAGGCGAAGTACTGCTAATCAGCAGGACTGGGGCTCAACCCATTTGGAGCAGGGTGGCACATCTCTCAAAGAGTGGGGGAAGTACTCAAAGAGTTCATCAGAGAGCTGAGTGCTTTTATGCAGCTTAGATGTGCACAGCAATTGCCTCCATTCCTGGCAAAGGTAGATTAGCTCTGGTCACAGGAATTAATTAATACATGAAGGCTGGATTGCTGTAACATGATCTCTGTGGGATTGCCTTGTTCAGAGGTTATGCCTGGTGCAAAGCAGAGAAGCCAAAGCTATGGCTGGTGCTTTGATTTTTTATCATGCAAACCCCAACATACTCTTCGTTTGCAGTTCAAACTGCTGATCATCGCCTTTAATGCTTGAATGGTTTATGTCCAGGATACTTAAAAGGATCACCTTCTCACAGATAAACCCACTAAATCAGGTCTTTTAGGGAGTGGTGTGTCTGTGTTTGTGTGTGTGTATGTGTAAGAAAAAGGCAAAGGGTATTTGTGGTGTAAGCACGCAGCTTATGAACCTCCCTGCCACCTACGTTTCTGCCCAGTAGTGTTCTAACACCAGACGAAGGTTCTCAGTCTCTGTGTCTTAAGTGGCATTTGTCCTGCTAGTCACTTTTTATACAACACAGGATAAAAATTGGAAACGAGGTGCTGCCGTTGCCTGTCCTCCCTGCCATACCATAGGACTGTTTCCAAAATATTGGTGACAGTTACATTGAGCTTCCTAAATTATGAGACAGAAAGGCAACACAGAAATATTTTGGATACCTATTGTTCATTTTTTTGCCTTTTGGAGTGGTTGATTCAGCTGAAATGTCAATATGTGCTCGTGATAAAGCATGAATTTTTCACCCATTAAATACTTCGCTAAACATAAACATACTTTTTTTCTTCTAAAATCTTGAAGGATGAAAATAGAGCATTTGTTTAATTGGGAATATCAAGACAAAATCTATACATGTAGTGATGTACACCAGAGCAGGGCAAGTTAAAAATTCTCCCTAAAACCGTACTAGATACAACCTCATCCTATGAGAAAACATCTCTGCAAAAATCTTTTGCAACTTTGGTGTTACATAAATGGCTCAAGACAAGGCAAGACTGCTTTCCTTGCAAAAATCATATTACCCATGGACAGCAATACTACAAGGTACAAACATGTGCCAAAATAAAAATGGGAATTTATTATTATTTTTTTCTACTAAAGCAATAAACTCTCAAGCTTATCCATTGGTCATTGTAAATGATTCTACCGTTCAATCTGTACTTTCAACTCTGTAAAAAATTTAGACACAACTCCATATAAACAAGAACACAGGGCGAGCCACTGAAAGATTCAGAGACGAGGACAGTTAGTGGTGATAAACAAAGAGAGGCCAACTTATTTTTTAAAAAAAAAAACAAGTCAAGCTTTCTTCACATAACTATATATCCAATGCTTCACTGTGAGACAAGATATTTAAATATATTCATTGTGGTAAAAAGATCTACATTACTTTCACAAATTTGGGTCTGTACAAATTGCAGCAGTATTTCCTGATTAAGTTATGAAGAATCAAGTCAGATATAACTGTTAAATACTGGAATTTGACGGAGACTCTAAAAACATTACCGAGCGGTAGTACATGCACATGATGCAAGGAAAAAGGGGAAGATTTATAGACTCCGTGCAAATGGGACAGGACAAACTGTTACGGTCAGTAAACGTGCGTCGGACAATTTTAAACTTTACAAGAAGTCTTGCAGGGTTACTTTCATGAAGACGAAGAAATTCAGAAGCACATTCCCCTCTCAAAACAAAACAAACAAAAACCCTGACCACCCACAAAATGAACGAAAGAAAAGGACACCAGTCTTCATTTGGCCTCTTGAGCTTTCTTGGCATTCTGTTTTTCTTTCGCCTAGAAGGTAAAGTCAGACAGAGAAAGCAGGCTGCACTGTTATAACAGGCCAGGTATTTTTTTCCCCTTCTGTAACTCAAAATATACAAAACTCTGCATTATCTTTTCAATCACTGAATATACAAGCAACTGCATTCTACAACAGATGCAGTTTGATACAGACAGAACTTTGGAAACCGATATATAATCACAAATCAGTCCAGAAGAGCTTACAACATTTACTCTCAAGTAGATGTACATAGGACTAAAACTCAGTATCTATCATTGTACTCATTGTACATCTAGAGCACATGGGAAGAACATGTGCAAGGCAATTTCAGAACAATAATCTAAATCGGGTCAGCTGAATCTCCGAACAGTTTAATAGCCCTGCAGGGGACAGGCTGAGTGTTATTTTATTGATTAAACGTGCTTGGAATTAGGCCACACTGGCAAATCTATGCTACAACTGGAACCAGAGCACTGAGGAAATAGCAAAATGCCATGAAGTCAATATAATCAGAATAGATGCTACAGAAGCCGAAGCTTACAGTTTGCTAGGGGTTTAGTGAGAAATACAAGAGAAAGAGTGCCATCTAGGTGTATGTGCTTCAGATACTCTCTTCTCTAAACAAAAAAGTCTACAGGTTTCACGATTCTGCTTCTACTGATTACTCTGACATTTCCCACTAATGTTCAGGTGTGTGCTGCACAACACATACACACAAACAGCCTGCCTATTAAGTTATTTGAGGCTGAGAGCACAACACTTACCTTTTCTACAAGTGGGATTAGCTGCTGATGTTCTGCTAAAGTCTTTAACAATTCCATAATGAATGGCAGGTAGTTATGTTTTCTTCTAATGTTTTCAATCTACAAGCATAGGTGAGACATTAAAGAAATTAGCATTAAATCCCATCATGTGCACACACCGCAAAGCCAGGTTTCCACCTCACTGCATTAGCAAATACATACAATAAACTTTGTCAATAAGCATTTGAGCAAAATCACTATCTCCCTTGTGCAAGTTTTATTATATTTTGGAGAGGGGAGAGAGAGAAGAGAGAAATTTTGGCTGGGGGATGCAACATACTGCTGGTGCTGATTATGGGATGACTGGTGCAGACTGCTTTTTATTTTCTGTGCCAGTTTAAGTATGATTGTTTTCTCAAGCATTTGGGGGGTCATTAGTTGTTCAGTTGAGGGTTGATTTATGCAGCCTCCCTGTAGTTTTAAAAAAACTTGATGGCATTAAAAAAAAAAGCTGCTTAGTTATTATTGTTGTGCTCTGAAATGTAACTTCATCCTGAGATGAAAAGCAAGTTAGAAATGTTTTAAAAGCAAAATCAGTTTCTCTAACACTTTGCCCTCTTAACCCCTTTGGGTTGTGCAAGAGTAAAATTTGCCAGTTGCTGGAGCGTAGAAGCTTTTTGAGGCTTCCAGCCTGAATAAAACTTGTGTGGACAAGATTTGGAATGTAAGTGTTTCAAGAGGCAAGATAAAGGTTTCTATAGTTCACCAGTTCTCCAAATTCTGTAGTTTTCCTTTCTTCAGAAGGAAGTCACTATTGAAATTATGCAGTCATTAGCTGTCTGCAAAAAGCAGACAGGAGCTAACTTTAGATAGTCTAACTTCATGGATAATAATGGGAAGCTCAATGTGCATGCCAAGTCATTAAGTATTTGCTGTTATGGCCTATAGCTCACAGCATTATTCTCTTAGTACAAAAGAGCCACAATAAAAATTGGAACAATACAATTGCTAAAACATTATCCTAACACAAGATAGGAAGCATGCATTAAAAAACTCTGCTTTTATGAAAATCTTGAGTTTCAACCCAAACAAAATGAAGATTTACAGATTTTTAGAATTATTTTAATTGTATCAACCTTTTTGCAAGTAGCCAATAGCTAATTTGGGGAAAACGTATTAGGTTCAGATTATGGTCTCAGTATAAGAAAAACAAAATATCGGTGTGTGTGTGTGTTCAATGTTAGCCCTACTCGGAGTAGATTCACCAATGTTAATATGAATGGCCAACTTAGGCTCATTAAATTCTGAATAGGACTTATGTCAGACCAAAGTTTAGAACAGCCGAACAGAAAGCCCTACTGCAATCTTGTATATGTCTACTGAGAAATAAGTCTGAATGAGTTCAGTGGAGCTGATGCCCATGCTATGCCCATGTAAAGGACTGCAGCTTCAGTTGTTATATACAGTGGTACCTCGGGTTAAGTACTTAATTCGTTCCGGAGGTCCATTCTTAACCTGAAATTGTTCTTAACGTGAAGCACCACTTTAGCTAATGGGGCCTCCCGCTGCCATTGCGCCACCGCTGCACGATTTCTGTTCTCGTCCTGAAGCAAAGTTCTTAACCCGAGGTAATATTTCTGGGTTAGCGGAGTCTGTAACCTGAAGCGTATGTAACCTGAAGCATATGTAACCTGAGGTACCACTGTATAGACAACCACATTGGCCTGATGTGCCCTCGTAGGATGTTAGTTAGCCTGCAGAAAACCACAGCGTCTGATGTCAGAACAGATCCGAACCAGGGATAGACAATATCATCAGCGAAAGAATATTAACCGTTTTTGTCCTTTTAAATAATAAATAGCTGTGCAGGTATGTTTGATGGGGTGATGGTACTGCATTCAACAAGTTTCAAACATCATAATGGGATTTACTTCAATCATTCCGACAAGGCTCTTAAGGTAATCTAGCTGGCAAATTAAGTCAATTATCATTAGTCTGTATAAAAGCCTGCAACCTGTAGTGCTTTGGGCAGTGAAAGAAGTCTGTGCAGAGTAAGAAAAGCCTTTGATGCATCACTATGGTAAAAATGTATCTGAACAGAGCAGAAGATATGTGGTCCTCAAGGTCTTTTTGGCAGCCCTCAATAACATCTGACACCTCCCCGTCCCAGCCGTCGTGTTGCCTTCCCGCAGCTGGGTAAGCGAGGCACTGGGCTTTGGGAAAGAGGCCTGAGGGCTCTAGGACCTTGCCAGAGCCTTCTGCCTCCTTAAAGCTCACTGCCTTGCTTATCAGGGTTTGGGAAGGCAGCACAAGAGCTGTGTGTTTGCGTGTGTCAAATTTTGGCCTCTGCGCGTGCCAAGGGAGTGTGAGGCTTGCAGGTTCCGTGTTGAAGTACTCCCGTGGCCGCCCTGATCTCAGAAATCCACACACTATGCTATGTAACATTACAATCACACTAAGAAGCAAACTGTAACGGAAGCAACACATAAAAAAGTTAGATCAGAGTTGCAGCAGGTACAGATCCCGCTGTAACCAGTTTAACCTGCAAATAATTGTTCCTGCAAGTAGTCCTCTGCACGAGCCATGTTAATGTCGGATTACGAAGCTTGCCCCTTCCATTCCATGAACAGACGGGAAATTATGTTCCAATTAATGGAACAAGAGCTACACATCTTCCAACATGAGTACCTCTTAAAGTGTCCAGTTATCTGTGGGAGCCAAATGGCTGCACTAATGTCTGTGCCAGTTTATGCAACAAGCCACAGAACAGAGACCACAGAGCAAGTTGCGGGGGGAGGGGTGTCTTTTATTAGAAAGATCAAATGTTAAAAATTACGAAGTGATCTGAAACAAAGGAGGAGTTTTAAACAGGAACTAGAATTAGGATTACAAGCCATCTGACCTTGTTGGAGGGATCAGGTTGCACAGCCCCCTAGAATCAAGGTAGAAAAGAAATTTCAACAAGGCATGGGGGTGGCGGGGATAAAAACCAGCCATGAAATTATAAAGAACTTAAGAGTGAAAGGCCTCTTTCCATCTCCAGTATCATCAGACCCCATAGGTCCCTTCGAGGGCAGGACACTGGCGACGCAGACCAAACTTGCCATTCAATAACTGGAGGTAAATTTGGGAAGGGTCAGTTCAGGTCAGACACTGCAACACTGAACAGTATCCCAAGGCTTTGGTATCACGTTCCCTCAGAACCTCTCTTGCTTTCAAAAGGAATGCTCACACTTTACGGTTCACATCATTATTATTTTTTTGCACTGAATCATAGAATTGTAGAGTTGGAATGGACCCTCAAGAATCATTTAGTCCAATGCAGGAATCTCAACTAAAGCATCCATGACAGATGACCATCCAACCTTTGCTTAAAAATGCCTGGGCTTTGTGTAAGAGGACTGTGCAACTGCTTTGAAATGTGAAAGCATAAATGAAACGCCTCTCCTTTACAAAATGTGATTAATTCAGTTCTCCAAGATGCGTTGTTTTTCTTCTTCTCCTTCTGCTTGCCTTCTTACAGCCAGTCATTTGATAGGCTCTATTCGTCAATGGCTCTGGCTGTCATCATCTCTGGTTCCACCTACTACTATTGGTCTTCCTGCCTTCTGCCCTTTCAGTCCCAGTGGGCACCAGAAACTACTGATTACTTCTGAAATGTTTGACATCTGAGATCACAAGCCGTCTCTCTTCCCGTCTACCCCACAGTGATTTTCAAAACTGGGGAACCCTGCAGGTCCTCAGAAGTTGACCGCAAGCTCCTCAAGGTGAAAGTAAGTGATGATGGGAAAACATCCCTGAAAGAAAGCGTGCCCATCACTACCCATCTGCCCCTGTAATGCAGCCACAGTATACTTTTAGATATGTGAGAACTAACAGGACTGGGGCCAGCAGCCCAAGTAAACTGATTATGCTTCTTGTCACCTCAGGAACTATCAGGGCTTCCTTAATGGAAAAGTCAGTGTGCAAAGGGATTCCCATAAGAAGCAAGTCTGAAACCACTCCTTGGGGCAACACACATTTATTTAGAATAAGCTGTTTTCTACTCTTCTGTTTCCAGAGACAGCTAGCCAGCCCTCCATCCTGCACACAAAAGCTCATTAGTTTTGCTCTGAGCACCAGATGAAGAATCAATTATTTGAAAAGGCATAGTGTGTTGACATTTCTTCACCAGCTTGTGTCACATTCTGTGGGACCAACACAGCCATGGAGCATAATGTTTCTCCATTTCTTTCAGCTCAGAAACCACATGGTTAGCACCCCACTTTTAAAAAACCATTCTGAGCATGCACAGCACATACCTTGTATCTTTTCAATTTTTGGTTTTCTTCATCAATTAACATCTGATATTTTGCAACTTCTGACTGAATAGAACTTAGTATATTACTGCTCTGGTCTGTATCCATGGGCTCTTCCTATTGGGAAAAACAATTTATACTTGCATGTTAGCGTTTCTAGCACAATGTCATCCAGTCAAGATTCACAGAGATAAAATATCATACAGCGGACAAAGAACCAAAGCTTGCCTCACTAGTCTCATTTGCATGTATTGTGAAAATTATCATGCAATGCTCTATTCTGTCCTGTAATGATTAAAAGTGGTTGCTAAAGTACTTTTATTTGCTAGTACCATTTGCTTGCCTCTTGATAAAGGAGATCAGAAATAATAAAAAGCTGGAAGAAATGCGGAATAATTGAAGTTTGCTTCGTTTCTGTCGCCCCCACCTCCGTGTGTCTGCATTTCCTACAATTACTTTTGTGCCTACCTCTACAACAACCAAGCATACTGGCTTAAAAAAAGTTAGAGAAGAGAGCTGGGGTTTTCAGGCTATGTACAGAAGTCTAGGTGCTATACAGTTGTTCAGAAAGGAAAAGAAAGTGGTAGTGAAAGAGACCCAATTCATATTGCCCAACTTTTTCTCTTTGAAATAAAAAAAATACACTTGTCTCCCACTCTTACATGATACTCTGAGTTGATTCCTGTTGTGATTTATTAGCTGCTTAGCTTCAGGAATGCTGCAACACGAGGTGCTCCCAGGGCAATTTACTAACTAAGGCTTACGATGCAACCAAGTTACCGAAACAACCTATTCGATTAGCAGAATACCTCAGCAAGTTGTCTCTGCAACTCTGCAATTTTCTGTTCATATATCATTTTTCTGTCAGATACAATTGCCATCAAGTTAAACCTTATTTCGCCTTCACTGTACCTACAAAATAAAAACAGAGTTGTCACATACTGCCATCACTGCATCAGGAGTCTCATAGCTATTGATAAGCTTCGGACACTTCTGCATTAAGAACAAAGCCAACTAAACATTGCCCACCAATTAACAATGGCAAATGCAGCGACCAGCAACAGAAGTGGAGAGTGATAACACTCTGTTCTCTCATTATGCGCTGATTTTAACATATGTGTCAAGTTAAGAATATTGCAAGATGATTCCAGTTACCTTGCGAACACAGCTTAAGCATGTTTGTAAGCAAATTTTGCCAAATTTACAGCCGGGTATTTTGGTTTCTCTACAGGACAATCTAATGCAAACAGTTAATTAAATGTTTACTTTTGTATTCGTTTTTCTATGACGGGCCTTACAGCACTGATCCAGTCATCTTGATTGCATACTCCTAAATGGGAAATACACAAGAAGTACAAGTTAATTTTCTTGCAAGTTACAAGTTTATAGGACTGTAAGCTTCAGATACACAATACCTGCTGATGAAGTCAAACTTATTTTTTTTACTATCTAGCCAAGATACATTTGTTACAAAGAGAGTAGCCAGACTTGTTGCAGCTCAAGAGTTGGCTATTGGGTTGTTGTTTTTTATTTTGATTATGTATTTTGTGGTTTTATATTTTGATTTTATTCTGTGAACCGCCCTGTGACCTCTGGGTATAGGGTGGTATATAAATTCAATAAATAAATAATAATAAATAAATAAATAGTCTGCTGAGGTTGTTTTGGTGCATTGACACATTTCTTGATCATAGGCAGCTCCTATAAATCTTAGGGAAAGTATACTGATTTTAAACTAATATTTAGATTCCAGGGATGCTGTATAATCACGTATATCATTTCTAAAACAATAAAATCACGTTTTTAAAGGCAAAGGGACCCCTGACCGTTAGGTCCAGTAGCGGATGACTCTGAGGCTACGGCGCTCATCTCGCTTTACTGGCCGAGGATTAAAGAATTAATAGAGTAAGATAACTGCATTTAAATTATAAATAATACTGAGATTAGCAATGTGGTTCTAACATTGGAAATACATTGGTTTGATATTGTAAATTTTGTAGTGATGTATTTAAAGGAAGGTAAGGCTCTCTAATAGCATGCAGGTGGCACTGTGGGTTAAACCACAGAGCCTAGGGCTTGCTGATCAGAAGGTCAGCGGTTCGAATCCCTGCGACGGAGTGAGCTCCTGTTGCTCGATCCCTGCTCCTGCCAACCTAGCAGTTCAAAAGCACCTCAAAGTGCAAGTAGAAAAATAAGTACCGCTCCGGCGGGAAGGTAAACAGCATTTCCGTGCGCTGCTCTGGTTCGCCAGAAGCGGCTTAGTCATGCTGGCCACATGACCCTGAAGCTGTACACCGGCTCCCTTGGCCAATAAAGTGAGATGAGCGCTGCAACCCCAGAGTCGGCCACGACTGGACCTAATGTTCAGGGGTCCCTTTACCTTTGGCTCTCAAAAAGTTTTACAGGCTACCACCCCACCTTATGTACACCCTGAATGGCATTAAAAGAGTCTACTTAGCTATCTTAGCTTTTTTTCCTCCAACACCCAGTTTGACAGGTAATTCAGGCTGAAGCCCACCAGCTGGTCCTGTCTTCTACCCTTGCTACCCTATGTATTTTGTATACACCCGGTATACTTTGAATGACATTCAGGCAGGAAATTATACAGGTGAAATGTGAGAGTTACCTAAATCTATTGGGCCTTCTCTTAGACCATCCAGTTCATATAATCTTCCATGCACAGGAACATAGCTGACAAAGTGAAAAGCATCTTCTTCTTTTGCCGTCGACTTTGCATCAAACTCAAACATTTGTTGTCTAGAGGTTAAAATAGAGACAAGCATGGATGTTAAACCAAAAGCATCTCTGGAAACTGTATCCGAAAGGCTTCAAAGTTCTTGTTACCTGGCAAAACTGTTGTGGACTTGTCGAATCACTTCAGAGTTACTTAATGCCAGGCCCTTCATCTAAAATTAAAATGAGACATTTGTTCAACTAACGACCCAGGCTTAAGATGCTTCTTTAAAAAAGAGAGAGAGAGAGAGAGAATATAGAATAATTGGACGTACTGCTGCATCAAAGCTTTGTGAAAATTCTTTAAATTCCGACAGCGTTTCTCCTAAATGGACGTCTTGATGGGTGCAGTTTAATAGCACACTTACTATAGCCTGAGTTGCACAGGCGTTATTTATTACCTGTTAAAAAAGAAACAAAGTGAAAATTCAGAAATAATTGAATACAAGACAAATTATAAAATGAGTTATAGTAGCCACAAGTTTACCCACTATGGCCATTGGGTTGGATCCAGGCTACTTGGGGTGAAACTCAGCTTATGGAACAATCTGTTGGAGGAAGAGTGGGAAGTGATTTTCATCAATTCCTCCTGAAGTTTCCTGAAAAGCTTCTCTGGCAAGTCAGTGAACTCTCTGGAACAATGTGGAAGGTGGGCAAGACTGGACTATGTTTTAAGTTTAAAGTAAGAGCCCCTTCTTCTACATCAGTATGCTCCCAACCCCATATCCACTGCAGGAAGGTAAAATGCCTTTGACACCTAATGACTTATTTTGCAGCTTTGTTTAGAGAAACAAATTAAACCTGTTTTATTGCCCTGACACTGAAATATGTGAGTTACAGACTCTTGGACAATAGGAGTTAGTTAAATTGGGTGGGAGTTTTTTTTTAACGAGGTACTCCATTTTTATAAATGAAAGAAATTAATAACTTCCTTTTTACTAGAATGGGCCAGAATGCACAGAGCTACTTTAGACATACTCCACAAATATACAAAAAGACAGCGAGCATCTAGATAGGAATTCCTAGGTTGAACTTTCCTCTTACATTTTGTTTAATAATGACTAATGCTTTTTGGAGATTAACAGCAGTGAAGGAATAATGGAGGTCTTTCCCACTTTTTACACAAAAAGTCACTTATAGCAGAATCATGTGTATGTTAACTCAGAAATAAGCATTATCGAGCTAACTTGGACTTTCCTTCCAAGCAAATGGGTCTATGATTGAAGCCGTAAGGAGAAAGTAGTATAATCAAAAGGAGCAGCAGTGAAGTTTAAAATGGACCAAGTAACCAAGGTACCATCTGAATGGTCATCAATGGAACAACCATGAGAAAATACCTGTAGTCCTTTTTAAAAAAAACACCCCTACAAATAAAAATAAAAAACTTAAAATACTGATGCCTAAATGATACGAACATTTTCAACATACAGAGATGAGACTGACATACTCATAATTACGAAAGAAAGAGGACAAGCTGAGTGACAGCAAGTCAGATCTGAGAAGGTTCATAGTTGGGAAGATGAAGCACACTAAGAGGTTGGCTTTCCATAAAGTATCTTTCTGTTCAGATATCTGTCACACTTAGAACACCTGAGTTTTTCTACTTAAAAAGCTTTCTCATGTACACTAGCAAATTAATATAAGAAGCTATTCAAACAAAGTTAAAAATAGCGAAGTTTAAAAAATAAAATAAGCAATTTTGATTCATGCGATTAGCCCCCACCCCAACCCATTGTACTGTTGTTTTATGATTAACAGTACACGGGGAAAAAACACTATTAATCTACTCTGACACAATAGCAAAGCTAGGAATTTAGAGTTAAGGCAGAAATTGCACCCTTACCTCACCTTATTGTGCCTAGGTATCCTAGCTCATATAGGGTGATCCAGAGTTCTGAGGCCCCAAAATACAGGACCGTATCATATCTAGGCATAACAAGGAGGCCAAATTTTACAAGTGTGCATATGAAGCTGGCCACATTGACAAACATGCAGACAACTTTATCGTGTGATTATCCAAGAAATGCTCAAGAGCTACAATCTCTATTAACAGGCCATCAATTTTATTTCATTTGTTTCATCGCCAATCTGGATGTTATTACAGAAATTACTTGGTTATCATATTAAGATATTTATTTATTTTTTTTAAAAAATTGTCTGTAAAGCTTGATTGATTGGTTTTAAAATTTAGATGAGATCAAGCAGTAGGAATGCAAAAAATATTGCATGGGTACCTACTCCTGTAGAATTCCCTTTTACAACATTATTTTGGTGCCATCAAGTGTCAGTTCTCTGAACTGCTAGCCTAAGAGTATTTCCCCACAACATCCTTCAAAATACAAGAATTGACATAGTAGTTCACTGGAAGGCACAGCCTTCCAAGAATAATGCCTACCATTTTATCTTCAAGACCCAGCAAATGCAAAATCCCTATTAAATAAAGTTAGCTCTAATCTGAAAGTCACTTTTGAGTCTGCATTTTTCATTCCTAAATTTCATATATGAACTGGCTTTTCTCTCTCAGTAATGAGATTTGCTAAATCAGGGCTAAACTCAACATACTAGGAATAAAAAAAGGAGGGGAACTGGAGTGCAAGTGGTCAGAAGATGAAGTATGCCCAGAAGCTGAGATTTATTTAAGTATGACTAAATAAAAAGGTAAATGACTCCTGACAGTTAAGTACAGTCAGGAATGACTGTGGGGTTACAGCGCTCATCTCGCTTTACTGGCTGAGGGAACCGGCATTTGTCCGCAGACAGTTTTTCCGGGTCATGTGGTAAACGCTGTTTACCTTCCTGCTGGAGCGGTACCTATTTATCTACTTTCACTTTGACGTGCTTTCAAACTGCTAGGTTGGCAGGAGCTGGGACCGAGCAACAGGCGCTCACCCCGTCGAGGGGATTCAAACCACTGACCTTCCGATTGGCAAGCCCTAGGCTCAGCGGTTTAGACCACAGTGCCATAGAACATATCAATACACATTTTCTTTGATGAACTCTCACCACAATGCCAGGTTTTTGGAAACTGAACTTAAACTTTTCTTACACTTCCCCTCCCAAAAGACATTTGCATAGAATTGACTTCATGCAAGGACTTCCACTTGGCTCTGAAGTCCTCTTCTCCAAAAAAATATTTTCTAGGGGTCCCCACCACTGGACCAGAATTGCAGCAGGGGCTGCAGAGCAAAAGGAAAGGAATGGGAAGTTCTACTGCCAAGTGGCATTCCTTGCTCAACCCCCAAATTTCTAAATAAATCTGCCTCAAACTATGCTTGCTATAGTTTTATATGATGCAATTTTACCAGTCACACAATGAAACTGGAAAGGAGCAACAATGATTTCTTTTTTTGCTATTCCACCAACTATTTGTACAAGGGTAAGAATCCTGTGAACTCTACACCCCACCCCACCAAGATGTTGTTGGACTCTGATCAGTCCCAGACAGGCTGGTTAATGTTAAGGAATGTTAGGAGCTGCAGTCAAACAACATCTGGAGGGCTATGGGTTCCCCATTCCTGAGCCACTATGATACTGTGCTTGTACACATGCAGACAAGAACAACAGAATGGGAAGGAGATGGTCCTAAGATAGATGATAGGGTTGCTGGTGGAGGGTACCAATGCTTTTACCTATCAGAATTCCATTCTACCATAAAATATTCCAGGATATAACACTACTTTCTTATACATCACTTTACTTTGGACTTTTAAAATAAATGTATATCTCCCAGGGAAAATTGGATTTTCCCATCATGGGAACAGCTTTCAAGCTCTCCACCTTGCTTATGGGGCTCTGGGAATATCTTGTGTGGGCTCTGGAGGCAAGATCTCACATTGCCGTCCAATATCCCTGTAAGCAAGGCAGAGAACTTAAAAGCTATTTCCATGCCAATAGAACCCTGCATAACAAGAGCTTTTAAGCTCCCTTTTATTGAAACCCTTTTGTGGGCTCTGGAGGCCTTCACAAGATCTCGCGCCAGCTCTGGAAGGTAAGATTCCCTGTGTGGAAGTGATTCCAGGGGGCTGTTTTGACAATATGCCATTTGGGCTTTATGCACTACTCTCAGAATACAACCCCTGTGCAAGGTCGTCCCTACTGTAATAATGTGTTAATAGCCATCAAAAGGTCAATCTCAACTTTCTGGGGGAAAAGAACTGCCCCTCCCCATCAGAGTGGTTTTTCAGGATTTGAGACCTAACCACAATGTATGAACTCACTAAACTCATCACAGCACCAGAAAGAAATTTATAACAAAACAAGTTTAGTGGAAAATGGGCGAGTTATATCTTATTTTGGAATGAGAAAGTAGGATATGATCTAAAGCCATGCTCATTATTTACTTTGGTTGAAAGATTTTTTAAAAAATGTGAATTCATTTATCTTTCATCATATATACATGCATACGTGTATGTTTGTTTACTGCCCTTTTGTGTAACAAATGTTTATAATGATGATATTGTCCTGTCTGCAATTTAAGATACGGTAGAAGGCATGCTTCAGTGTCCACCATCAAAGGCAATCAGGCTGGTGAACACACAAATTAGAGCCTTCTCTGCAATGGCCCTGAAATTATGGAACACAATCCTGACAGGGATCAGGCAGCCCCCCGTATTTAATGTGGGATAATCAGTTGTAATAGTAAACTGGAATATTGTTGAGCTACTGTTGTTTTATGCTGATCTTATCAGTGCTGTTGATTGTTGTTTAAACGTTTTATGAATGTGGATCTGCATTTTGAAATGCTGTAAGCTGCTTTGTGAGAAATATCCTCAAAGTGGAGACTAAGTTTCCCAATGTTTGTGAAAATTCCCTTAAAGCAGAATCCTTTGCATGCTTACTCAGAACTGCCAGAGATATATGAGATTTACTTCCGAGAAAATCTGCAAAGTTTGCAGCCCATGAATTATTCTTGACTCATAAAAGGCAAGTGTTGCATCTTCGTAAATATTAAATTTGAATGCACATAAAACAAAGTTGTTTTGCCCATGATAATTTTTATTATTCACTGAACAACCTGTTCTGCCAGACTGCCTTACTATTTAGACTATGTCACAATGTTTCAAAGTTGTATTATTTTCACTTGCTGCATCTAATTAGGAGGTGTCACAGATAATCTTTTAACTTACTATACCTGTTTAGCAAAAAATATAGTATCTAATCTGGAGTCCTGAACGACAGAGCCAGCTGGTTCTTCTCCTGGTTGCCACTTGAACAGAAAAATTAATCCATGAACTGGCCTACATAAAAAGGAGCACAAAAAGAAAACAAGCAAGAAAACCCAGTAAAGCATTATCACAACATGTCAAAAGTTAAAACACTAAAAATCCACTAAACATCACTAAACAAATTCAATAAACCTAAATGAACACACACATAGTTTTTTTAATGGCTACACCTGAACAATAAGGTGTAAAATCTTGTTTAGTAAGCCCTACTGTGCCTGAGGTATGTGCTGGTGCACGCAGTCCGAGTGTTGACATGTAACTCTTCCCTTCAATCAAACATGTGAATAAAGCATGACAGAGATAGCTTAGCATGATGTCTGAACCCGAGGCAGAGGTTTGTTGTAACAAGCCACAATCTCTACCCAGGCTTAAGCTGTAACTGGTTGATGGTTTAACAACCAAGGGTAAAAAAACCAACCACTACCCTGGGCTCCTACATCACTTCTACATATCCCTTTTGTGCTTTCCTTGCTTGCAAGAAGCAAGTGTTTCTGCTGTGTGAACAGTATACTTTGCTAAACCAGATGTGGCTTAGTACCGAATATGAACATAGAAAATTATTACTTAACCCAACCAACACTTAAAAGCTTAGGACAGGAACTGCCCAGGGTCAGCAGGAAAAGAAATGCATGCCTTTCCAAAAAAATTTGCAGGATGCTGCTCCCAGCTCCCTCCATTGTTCACTTTAATGTATGAATGGAACACACAACTCTGTAAGTGTGCACTATTATACCTGACGGATTTTTTTAGCAATAAGAATTGGGGATGGGGGAAAGAGAAGTAAATTATTTGGAATAAAACTTACTTTAATTTCTCAAAGTTCTCTGGCTCCAAACTCCATATTTCCTCTACTTGCGCGCCTCTACAACCTGTAGTAGCAGAGATAATTATTGTAATTATTGTGATTATTCCTGCTTAGAAAGTTTGCTTTACAGGAAAAACTAAAACTAAAACCTGACACCTCTTTCTAAACAACTTAATTTTGTTTCAACATACAGAAATAACTTCCACCCCTTCTATTGCATTTTATAATAAATTGGTCTATCGTATATGTAAATCATGATGGCATGAAAATCATGCCAAATTTACATATTTACAAACCTTATAATAAAAAATGAGTTGCTAAAAATGGATATCTCAGAATGTCCACAATGCCACAAATATGTGGGATACTAAAAATGTGGCGTCTGAGAATTTGGATAAAGAATACTCTTGACAGACGCTAATATTGCAAATATCTGTTTAAATTGTAAACACCTACCTGGTGGGGTAAGTTACCAACCATGGTGCTAAAATAGCCAATAGTTTGATGACAAAAAAGGTTTAGTAGTAGTAGTTACAAGGGATATTTCTTTTACTTCAGGCACTTAATTATTAAACAAGTGAAAGTTGTGCCTTACTTATTGAAGCAATGTTTTTTATTAATTCACAATCCTAAACCATAGTTTAATTTAGACTTAGAAAGGTATTCCAATATATATGATTCAGGAAGAAAATGTGCAATGAAAGAACTGGCAAAGGTGAACAACGTGCATTAGGAATGCTCTGAAGCAGAAATTATTTTTAATGAATGTGTGCAGAAATCAGAGATGAGACCTTGTGTACCTGTCAGCATGTTTAATGACTCAGCTTCCCTAGAGCAAAAAAATGAATAATAGCAAGCTACATTACATCTACCAGATAGGATGATAGCAAAGTCATCTGCCAGAGATTTTATTATCATTATTTGTTAATCTGAATAGCTCCTTTCTTTAAAGGATCTGAGACAGATGCTTTAGCCTCAAATCAAAGCATATCATAAAGACAGATTAAGATTACACAGATGGACAGTAACTTGTCTAAAGTGGTCCATCCACGACCACTTCACTCATCAAATTGCAAAAGATGCAACAAAATGTAAATTCAATAAGGAGACACAACCAACTCCAGCTCCCTATCAAGCACATTCCTATGAAACATGTTTGTAAATGCCCACTTGAGATCAGTAGTGAGAAATCTCTGGCTTGTGGGTCAACTAGGCCCACAATGTCTCCATTTGGCGAAGCCATACTCCCCTGCCCTACAACTGACATCATACACAATATCATGTTTGGGGCAGAGAAATATGTACCTGGGTCAAAAGGAGGCTTAGACCTATGTCTAAATTGTGTTAAATGCACACACACAAGCCACCAACACAATTGACCTGAGTCTGCAAATACAGGGACACATACAGGGCAGTGGCTGGCTACAACTCTTTCGAAAACAAAGCTTGATGACAAACCTTCTGTGGTGCAAAAAAAATGGCCCACAGCCACACACAAAACCAGAAACCAGAATAATGCTATGAAGCAGTTCTACACAAGCCCTTGAACCCAGGCTCAGCCCAAGTCCAACACCATGGAAGATATTAGCATATAGACATATGAATAGGGTCAACTGCAAGTACATCAGGGTGTGACTTTGCTAGGATTTCCAACCAGCCATGCTATCGTAACCAGGGCACGATCTAGTCTGGGAACTGAGCTTCTTCTCTCCTGCTCTGGAGGGATACGACCTGAACCAAAGACTTCAAGTTACAAGAGAGGAGAACTTTATGGCTGTAACGGACGCCCTCGGGAAGTTGTGGACCCCTCCTTTATTGGAGGTTTTAAAGGAGAGGTTGGACGGCCACCTGTCATGGATGCTTTAGCTGAGATCAGGGGTGCCAACTTGAATAAAACACTGGGGAGCCCCAGGTATGCCCCACCCCGCATAAGCAACTACAAGACGCAGCACATGCACAACTTTGTATGGCAAAGCCCATCATCTTTAAAGGGGGGACCTGGACCCCTCAAATATTTTATAGGAGGGGAGGGGGCTTAAGGGACCTCGGCCCCTAGGAGTTGGCACATACAGTTGAGATTCCTGCATTGTAGGGGCTACCAGGAGATGATGCTTCCTTTCCACGAGTCTATAAAATAGCCGGGCAGAATGACAAGGCAAAAGCATGCGAGCCTTACACATCCTTCAGGGCCAGATTTAGGTCTGATGAGGCCCTAAGCTACTGAAGGTAATGGGGCCCTGTCCTTCGTCAACAACAAATTATCGCTGTTTTTAGGGAGCAGGCTAGCAGGCATAGCTGTCAACTTTTCCCTTTTCTTGCGAGGAATCCTATTCGGAATAAGGGAATTTCCCTTTAAAAAACGTTGGCAGCTATGCTAGCAGGCTTACATCATAAGAGCCTACACAACACAAAACACAGTTGCTGTATGTAGGTTTTATTTGTTTTATTTCGGAAACGTACACAGGTTTCCCCTCCCTATGAATTTTTTTGGGGAGCCCCCAAGAGAGTGGGGCCCTCAGCTAGAGCTTGTTTAGCTTAGGCGTAAATCCGGCACCGACTTCATTGCAACCCAACCCGCCTGCCTCGTGCCAGCTAAACGAAAACTCTGCTTTCCACCGGATGGGAGAGGCGCTCTGCACACGCCTCGGAAGCACCGTAGTGAGGACTTCTACACACCAAGAGAGGAAGCTGGCTTTCCCAACTAAGGCGCTCTGCACATGGCAAGAGACTACGTTTCCTCCAGCGAATAAAAGGCAGCTGGGGAAATCCTAGCCCTCCTCCTCTCCCCGCTGGCAAGGCCCCGCCTCGCCCACCCGCCTCCCCGCGAAGTGGGCCGCCGCCAAGCCTCACCGAAGCCCTTGATGAGCTCCGTGAAGACGCCCGGGTCGCTCTCCATGAGGCACCACTCGCCGGCGCTGCCTCCTCCCGCCATGGCGCTGGAGCGGCCGCAACTGCCTCCCCCGGGCGGGCCCCGTTCGCTCGCGTTCTCTCTCGCTCCGTCCGCCTGACGCGACAACCCGTTCCTACTATTGTTATTGTTATTGTTGTTATTAAACAAAATTCTCCTCACGCCGCCCTCGAACGCCCGCGAAGCAGCGCGCGCGCCGCTCCCTTCCCGGCAACCTCTGCGGCAAGGGCCGCTTCGACGTCCGTCGCCCAGGCAAGTGTCTCCTTCGTCTCTATGGTGAAAGGGGAATGGAGGAAAGCCAACCACCGAGATGGTAGAAGACCGCTGGTGCGCACGCGCAGGGAGAGTCAACGTGAAAAGGGGAACCCGTTCGTTCTAGCCTCGGGTCTCTATCGTCCCCAAGGAACCGTGTCCATGCATTTGGGTTTCGCGGTCGATTAGCGACCGGAAGTCCCTCTGCGCGTGCGTAGGAATCTGCCACTTACTGAATAGGGGTGGTCGCCAGTTCGTGGAATGGTGGCGCCTCTCCGCCAGGCATCCAGTCTCCCTGCCTAACCACCTTTCCTTGCGGAAACATCATTATTCGATTATGATTCTATACTGTTATTCCCTTACGGGACTCAAGGCGGACAACAGATTTAACAAAATGCTTGCAGGACTACAGCTCCCATCAACCCCTGCAAACACGCCAAATGGCCAGGGGATGCTGGGAGTCGTAGTTCCGCATGTTCCTGCGGGCTATTAAGTCTCCACACACTTAAAAAGGGCCTAGCTGAGAGGAGAAAGCGCCGCTAAGCTCACTCGGGCCTCACTTTTGAGGTGCGGAGGCCCAATCCTTGACAGGATGGAGGCTCCTTTCCCGTATGAAAAGGGATGCATGGGCGACGCCTCCTCTCAATCCTCCATAAGGGAATCTTATTTATTAATTGATTTATTAAATTTATAAGATTTCTGGGTGAGTCATAGGCCAAGCGGCGGTTGGCTGAGAGGTGAGGATGACTAGAGAACTGATTCTCGCTCCATCCGGGCCTTTGTTTTCGCGGCGTGAGGGAAGCGCCGGCCGGGAAGGCGGGGTCGGGCGCCGACATCCGGGTCCTGGGGGATGGCCTCCCTGAGCCGCTGCATCCGGGTCCTTCTGTCGTGAGGGAAGTTGTCAGGAGGCGCGAGGGGTCCTGAGGCGGAGAACGAGAAGCCTCCGAGCTGCCCGCCGGGACCTCCCCACCCCGCACCCCGCCGAAGGCCGCTCAGGTACGGCTTCTTTCTCGGGCGGCGAAGGGCCGGGGCGCCGGAGGACCCGCCCTGTCCGCCTCCCTCAGCGGCTCGGGCGAGTCGATGTAGGGAATCCTCCCCTCGCCTCTACTCGCCCTGAAGGCCTGGCGGCGGCGCCCAGCCTTCTCTCGCCAACCCCGAGCGCGCTTACTCCACACACGCGTTCTCACGCTCACACGAGCGCCGCGAACCGATAGCAGTTGCCTAGGCAGTGTAAACCGGCGGCAGTTGTGTTTTTGCGCGGGTTTGTGTTGCTTTCCCAGACAGGCGGTGTTGCACCCCCCCCCACGCCTCAAACCCCCCCCCCATAGCCTTCAAACTCCTTTGCGGTGTCCCTTTAGCACGGGTTCAGTGCGCATAAGCAGGGGACAGCACCGTGCATGTTGTTGGGTTTGTTTTGTTTTTATTACTTCGTTTCGCCTGTCGTTTTATTTCGTATTTTCAGGCTGTGAACCAGCCCCCAAGATCTTCGGGTCTTGAAGGGTGGTATACCGATTTAATAAAATAAATGGACGTCATTGGGCTGGTATACCGATTTAATAAAATAAATGGACGTCAGTGTGAGAGAGAATTTATGCACAGTGGTACAGCAGCCTGAAAAGGTGTCGATCTGTTGTTGCCTGGTCAAAATACGAAACTTCACAGGAAGTTTTGGAAGAGTGTGTTTTGTACATCTGACAGCTGAATGCGCATTTATAGTGTAAACATAATGCAGATTACAAATTCAGTGGCTCCTCCTGCAGAGACCTGCCCCTGTCTGGGTTAAAATCAGGGACGGAGGGAGGTTGTTCTGCAGTTGAATAGGTTCATCCCTCTGAGGGCCTTTTCAGTGGCGCCCCATTTGTGTAACATCCTTCCAGCTTAAATAAGTTGGCAGTGATTCTTCTCTTAAACAGTTTTCACCCGCCAAAGCATGTGTTTATCAAGTAGAGTGGGGTTGGTTTTTTTGCTGCATCCTGGTTTGGTGGTTTGATTTGCCTGTTACTTGAGATTGCACCCTGTACTTGGATAATTTGTCAAGGAAGAAAGGATTGTATCTACCTGTCTGGTAGGCAAGATTGGGACTCAAAACTATGTTAGAATTTGGGTAGTGAAATGATCTCAATTTCTGTTCAAAAATATGACCAACGTTTTATTTTGTGTAATATCACTGTGCCCCTTATAACTGGAACTTGTCTAGCCCAAATAATTGCATCATATCATTGGAATCTTATCGTTATTAAGAACAGCAGCAAAAAACCCACATGTTGTCTAGAAATATATGGTGCATCTCTAGTAGAGCATAGTATTATACCCCTAAAGCAGCTAGCATGTTTTGTTTCTTTTGCTATGATAGTATAAACTCATTCCTTAACTTAAATAAGTATTCCTCCTCCGATATGCTTGCCCTGTATTAAGAAGGATTTGAATGGTTTTGGGGAAAGGGCCGCAGTTCAGTTGTAGAGCATCTGCTTTGCACACAGAACTCTCAGGTTCAATCCCTGGTGTCTCTGAGGTAGGTTTAGGCATGGCCTCTGCCTGAAACTTTTGGAGAGCCTTTGCCAGTCAAAGCTGACAGTACTGAGTTAGATGCACAATAGTCTGATTCAGTATAAAGCAGCCTTGTATGCTTGCTGCAACAGTAAGTCGAGAAATGAATGGTATTCTGTGAGTGCCAACAGCAATTCCCATATCTCAAACATTAAATCAGAAGAGTTGCATGGGAAATGTGATGAGTTGTACAGTTGTAAAGTACTATGATATAGGGAAGTGTGTACAATAATTATGGTTTAAGCCGACAAAAAGTCTCCTAATGTCATATGATAGCATAGCGTACGTAAATAACTTTCATGAGTCCTTCTTTCTTAAAGAGTAAAAAAGTGACTTTGTGTGCATGGTTGGCCAACTCATTCCATAGGTGTGCTCAGATATATTTTATCAGTATTCAGGTGCCAGCATCAAATGTTTCATGTTAGCACAAATAGTTTTATAGGACTTAACTTGCCTGGCTCTCTGGGGATTGTGCCCATAGATAATGATCCAGAAATGGTTACAGCTTCATATTTAAACTGGTTTTATGAATGTGTCCTGTTTTAAGTGAGCATTGGATTTTGCTACTGTTTATTTTCAAGTTTTTTATTTTAAGAACTTATGAGGCTGTAACATTTAGATATAACTTCTGGACAGTAGCAGAATCTCAGAATTATCTCACAGTACTTTTTGTGCAGCGTAACTATATCCATGCAGATTAATAGATCTCACTATAGATGGGGTAAGCCATAGAAATCATATATCTATTTGAAGCATTTCCCCCCCTATTTTTCAGGAGCCTCCTAACATTGAGAAGCAATGGAAGTAGCAACAAGTCAAACGCAATCTTGCAATGAAAAGCAGCTGCCAAATTCTGAAGGTGGATACGTGTGGCAGGTTACCGACATGAATCGACTGCGCCGTTTCCTGTGTTTTGGTTCTGAGGGAGGTACTTACTACATCAAGGAACAAAAGTTGGGCTTTGAAAATGCAGATGCTCTGCTGAGGCTTATTGAAGATGGCAGAGGCTGTGACGTGGTACAGGAAATAAAGACGTTCAGTCAAGAAGGGAGGGCAGCAAAACAGGAGCCAGCATTGTTTGCGCTTGCCGTTTGTTCACAGTGTTCTGATTCCAAAACAAAACAAGCAGCTTATAAGGCTGTCCCTGAAGTTTGTCGTATACCAACCCATCTCTTCACTTTCATTCAGTTTAAAAAGGATCTGAAGGAGGGCATGAAATGTGGCATGTGGGGCCGTGCCCTAAGAAAAGCTGTTGCGGAGTGGTACAATGGGAAGAATGACATGGCTATTGCTTTAGCGGTGACAAAATATAAGAAAAGAAATGGCTGGTGTCATAAAGATCTTCTCAGGTTATCCCATCTAAAGCCTGCAAATGAAGGTAACAACAACTGGGAATTTTCCATTACAGCTATAATGGAATTTGTCTGGAGTAAGCACTGTCTGTTTGAGTTTGTAAGAAATGAAGGAATGAGGAATGAAGCCTCCATAAAACTGGGGAGCTGTTGTTGCCCAGGCTCATTTAGACGTTGCAGAAATGAGTGACCACACATTTTGAAATCAGATACTTAGACAGAAGTGTAACTATGTGGTTTTACTCATGGCTTTCATCGTAATGGGAGAAACGGTCCTTAGTCTGTTACTACTATGTTAAGTAGAATGACAAAAATCTCACTTTAAAAAATCACTTTTTTACTTTATACTTATGAATGGTCCGTTTCATTCTATACAGTGAAATGAAGGGAAAATGTGTCTCAAATAGCTAATAAATTACTGGTTTTTTACATTATAACTGAATTATCTCTGATTATAGTTTCGATATTTTTCTGCAAGCTGTAAATGTACAGTACGTTTGATGTGCGTTTGCATATTCTGCTGTAGATAAAAACCCGGTCACTTACTTGACAGTTGGGAGAAAACTTCTTATTAACCATCCTGTTAATAAGCTGTTATGCAAGAGTTACTGAGTATAGCTTTTTTTTATTTCAACAGGCCTTGCCGTAGTCACTAAGTATGTAATGAAAGGGTGGAAGGAAGTCCAAGAAGCATATAAAGACAGCAAGCTTTCTCCTGAGACTGAAAAACTGATAAAATATTTGGAGGCAGTGGAGAGGGTCAAGCATACAAAGGATGAATTGGAAGTGATTCATTTGATAGAAGAATATAGTTTAGTTAGGGAACACCTTCTGACAAATCATTTGAAATCTAAAGAGGTGAGTGCATTAAATTTGTTATGTGCACTAACCGTGTAGTTAACGTGATGATGTATAATTGCCTGTTGATTCTTAAATGCTTAAATGTAATATATCCTCATTTTAAAACACCATATCCTGGTCTTTCTATCTCAATCTATACAAGGTGTGGAAAGCATTGTTACAGGAGATGCCCTTAACAGCAATGTTGAGGAATCTAGGAAAGATGACAGCAAATTCTGTTCTTGAACCGGGAAGCCCAGAAGTAGCAGCAGTTTGTGAAAGACTAAGAAACGAAAAACTTCTTAAAAAGGTGAGACTCTCATGTTTGTATTATGCTAATGCAGCTCTTTGCAGTTGAAGTAGATCATTCCGATAATAGAAATTGGTGTTGAAAGTGTAGCTACACTTGCAACTTGTTGTTGTTGTTTAGTCATTTAGTCGTGTCTGACTCTTCGTGACCCCATGGACCAGAGCACGCCAGGCACTCCTGTCTTCCACTGCCTCCCACAGTTTGGTCAAACTCATGCTGGTAGCTTCGAGAACACTGTCCAACCATCTCATCCTCTGTCATCCCCTTCTCCTTGTGCCCTCAATCTTTCCCAACATCAGGGTCTTTTCCAGGGAGTCTTCTCTTCTCATGAGGTGGCCAAAGTATTGCAGCTTCACGATCCGTCCTTCCAGTGAGCACTCAGGGCTGATTTCCTTAAGAATGGACACTTGCAACTAAAAACAGCAATTTCACACTTAAGAGTTTTAGAATTGCAAATTTTGATTGAAATATATTGAACCTGCAAACAGCATAGAGATGGAAGAAAGTTGGCCACTATTTCTAGTTTAAGGAATTGCGGGTGTTGTGGATAAGGTTATAAAAACAAGAATCTTATATGGTCTTTCTCCTGCACATTGCCATATGTTCAGGAAATTGATCGATCAAGGAAAATGTTGGGAAGCATTTTCTCAGAAAAGGACGAAGTATTGTGGAATTGACAAAACAACAGCACATTATTACTATCTCCACCATTCTGAGTACAATTTTAAAGGACCATCATTTTGTAGGAAGAACAGAAACCTTTTACTCAAATGGGAAATAAATATTTCTTTTACTCAATTGGGAAGAGGGTTAATCCTGCAATGAGGGTTCTAGAGTAAAGTATGATGGAAAGAGTAGAAACACATTAATTGGAGGCAGAGGGTATTGATGTTTCAGCATCTTAGATCTGATGTGAGGGCATCAGAGAGAAGTTGCTAAAAACAGCAACCCCAAAACAAATTAAAAACCTGGATATCTCAGCATACATTGGTTCTCAAACAGAATGCATTCTGGGAGTCGGTTCTACTCCTGGAACCGTTCGAAAACCAAGGAGAGGCCTGCAGTCAATTGGAAGCCGCAGAAGCCACACCGGACGTTCGACTTCCAAAAATCTTTCGAAACCCGGAACACTCACTTCTGGATTTCGATTGTTAGGGAGCCAAGGCGTTTGAAATCCAAGGTACAACTGTATATTTTGTGGACGTCTTGAAATATCCCATTTGGTGTAAAGTGAAGATTACACAAAAGTTCAGAAAAAGTAATGTAAGCTAGGATGATCAGAAGGCAACTTAAGATGACAACACTTTTTTTTTTGTATTTAGAATATTGTTTTGTCAGTTATATGTCTTTGAGAATGCAGCCCTCTTTTTCTAGGATCGAATACATCCATTCCATGTTTTGGTTGCACTAGAAAACTACAAAGGAGAACGTGGTTATCGGGGGAAACTTCGCTGGCAACCTGATAATGACATTTTGGAAGCACTTGATGCCTCATTTTACAAGACCTTCAAGGTAATTGTCAGTTGTAGCTGCAGACGTTCACACCTGTTTTAACAGCATGTTGATTTAACCTTTATTTTGAATCTATCCATACATACACATATAGTATAAGCCTCCAGATGACCAATCTTCATTTAAGAAAGTATTCAATTTTAATAATAAAGGTTTAAGGACAGGATGATCAGAGTGGCTTAAGGTCTCTGAAAAACAGAAATCTTTTGCTTCTCTGCCTCCTTTCTTGTCCTGGCTAAGTCCCATGGAGACCCATTCTGCAGCTTATGCTGCTTCAGCCACTTCCTCCTACTGAGTTCCCTGAGGCCTTGTATTTGGGGGAGAGAGAGATTATAAAGAACAACATCTTGTCCATCCTTCTCATACTGTGTGGTCTTCTAGTTCTGGGCAACAGCCAATGTTGTGCCTGTAGCGTGACTTCCTTTGCTCGAGGGTCCCTCAAACAGACTTGGAGACTTGTGGGGAACAGGGGGACGGGGGATGGGACGACGACAACCAGTTTGCACAAGCTGCTTCCTTTACTGTGAGAAGCGAAGTTACAGGGAACTAGGCATAGGGCCTTCTTGGTAGTGCTGCCCTCCGTGTGGAACACCCTCCCTTCAGATGTCAAGAAGATAAAGAACACAACTTTTAGAAGACATCTGAAGGCAGCCCTGTATTGGGAAGTTTTTAATGCTTGATACTTTACTGTGTTTTTAAATATGCTTCCCAGAGTGGCTGGGGAAACCCAGCCAGATGGATGGGGTATAAATAATAAAATTATTTATTATCATCATCATTATTAGCAGATGACCATAGTTTGGACATCACCCTCTTTTTCTTCAAGGTAGCAATTGCTTGTTCTCAATGTATGCTTATGCTATGAAAGCATAATAATAACAACCACTCTCCCAATTTACTTCTCACACTCTTTCTTTAGACAATGGAGCCAACAGGGAAGCGTTTCATGCTTGCAATTGATGTCAGTGACTCTATGTTCCAAAAGGTTTTGGGTAGTGTGCTGAATGCTAGTACAGTTGCTGCAGCAATGTGTATGGTAAGTTATGTTTGTTTCACCAAATTATTTCAACCCAAATTTGAATGCTGAAGTAGCTTTCTGTTTTCTTTCATGCCCAGACATGCACTCTGCCTACAGACCTAATCAAGAGAAACCTAAAAACCTAAGTGGGGGGTAGGGTAAGAGAGTAGCTTGTGATGCCTTAGAGAGTCTTTCCTCATTTTTTAAAAAGGCTTACTTTAAAAGATAGAAGCATGCTTGCAAACAAACATAATAACCCCTATCTAACTTTTTATCATCTAAAAGTATGATGCAGATAATCATGCATGTATTTGGGGTGGTTATGGAAGACAAACAAACAACTTAGTGAGGGAGCAATGTCCTCCTTTCTACTCCCAAATGTCTCACATTAGCACATTTAGAGCAATGCATAGAGATGTGAAGGCCAGGGGGAGGTACAGGAAAATTGGGGGAAAATGGGTTTCCTCCCAATTTTTCCATTTTCTCCCCAGGCCTTCACATCTCTAGGAAGGCATGAAGGAGCCACCTGGAGCAGTAAAAGAGATACAAGAGGATGGAGGGATCTGTTAGAGAGTGATAAGTTTGATTGAGAAGTACTAGAGGAGAGGAGCTGAAGAGGAAATGTGGCTATAGCAATGGACACTCTGAAAATCCTGAGACAGACAGTGGTACCCTTAGGTCTCCCTTCAGAACATAGAACACAAAATGAAAATAACATGGCTTCATTTTCTGTTTTCTGTTTTGTTTAACACCCTTACCAGGTTGTTGCACGAACTGAAAAAGATTCTCATATTGTTGCCTTTTCCCATGAAATGGTCCCTTGCTCGGTGACTGAGGACATGACATTACCTCAAGTGTTACATAAGATGTCTGAGGTATCTAAAGCTTTTATATTTGTCTCTGATTTTATATGTGGAAGTTCAGCTAATTGTCCTGAATTTCAAAAAGGAACTACTGGTAAACTTTCTCCCTCATTTTGAACAAAATATTTTATAAATAATACTTTGAAGTATCTTGTTCACTTCAGATTATTTTTTCACCGTTAAATTAAACTGAAGCTACTTTTGATAATATTTTCATGCAATTTTCACTGTTCTCCAATCTATATATAATCCTATACATATGGACTTGGATGTAAATCCACTTGTGTTCAATGGGATTTTCCGTCTGGTAAGTATATTTAAGATCTTAAAATCTGTGATTAGTTTGTTTGAAAAGATGGAATCGAGAACTTTATCAAACATCAATAGACTCAACAAAAATATAGAACTAAAATTCATTTTTGCTATTGAACATCATTATACGTACATGGCACTTTACATAGTTGCATGCCAAAATCGAAGAAAAACAAAACCCAGGTGTTAAGAGTTTACACTGTAAATTTCAAAAGGAGGAGTAACAGGTAGATGGAAGACCAAGGGCAGTTGCCTGTATTTAAGCTTTGTCGCAGTTGAGGCTGAGCATAGATTTGAAGTGATATTGGAAGGCGGAGGGAGAAAGAAAGAGACATTATATAGGAGTTCTAAGGATAAGGGACAGAAAGAGAATGTGGCCAACACTGTTGTAAGAATAGGAGTCTTTGCGTTAATTGCTGGCAATAGAGTTTGAGTAAATGTTGTGGACAGGGATGTAAAAGGAAATAAGAGCACAGAGAGATGCTAGGGCAGAACCTTGGAGAGCTATATGGGTAAAACAAAAAGTTTATCCTGGATGCTGAAGAGTATAGGAAGTCGTCAGGGATTTGCGGAGGGCTTCTCAGAGTGCACCAGTGTGAGAGATGAGTAGAGTTTTGAACCAAAGTACAGTTCCCATCTAAAACGTCTTGTTTTGCTGACTTGTTTTGTTAATAATGGTTTCTTATTTTTCCTAGATTCCAATGGGTGCCATAGATTGTTCTCTTCCAATGCTATGGGCTCAGAAGACAGGTGTAGCTGTTGATGTCTTTATTGTGTTAACAGATAATGAGACATTTGCTGGAGATACTCATCCTGCCACAGCCTTGAGGACGTATAGAGAGGTAAAATGCCCTTTGTACAACTTTGCCATGAAGTTGCTTCTGTAGGAAATAGCTGATTTTTAAATAGTTCCCACCTTTTAAAAGGATGACTGCTATGTTGCAGAAATAAAAACTCTTTAGAATCATTTATGCGTGGCAGTTGAAACTACAATACTAGTGGCTGGCACACTGTTAAAAATATTCCAGTTTGCAACAGCAGCACTCAAAAATAATTTCCTTCAAACATTTTGCTCACTTCACATTTGCTCTGCTCAGTATCAGTGTAAGGTGCTGTACTTTGTGGCTCTTCAGTGGGTCTGCATCATGGTCAAACAGATTTGTGCATGTGTGGCTATAAAAGCTCTCCAGAAGCCAAGCCGGGCCAATAAGAAAATGATTTCCATAGGTAGGGCAGAGAGGCAATGGCAGTAGGAGAGCCAGCACAACCTCTCTTTTCTCCTAATGTGCAGCGGGTGTGTGTGTGTTATTGTAGTGGAAAACAGATGGAATTAGAAACCCAGGGAAATTGTCAATGAATACTGTCTTGCATGCAAAGAGGTGGGGCAGGTCAGCCGGGTTTCCTGTATCTGTCACAGTAAAGTGTAAAAGACTTGGCTTTTGTAAAGAGTTCATACTTGGTTGTGCAGCTGCACACTGGAAAAAATGTGTTTCTTTTTCTTCTTCCTTCAGAGAATGGGTATTCCATCCAAGCTGATAGTTTGTGGGTTGACATCCAACAGTTTTACCATTGCAGACCCAGATGACAGAGGCATGCTGGACATATGTGGCTTTGACACAGGAGCACCAGATGTCATTCGAAACTTCACTTTGGATTTGATTTAAATCTGTGAGCACCTGCTTTACTGAATCTGTTACTTGCTGAAGACTTTGACCTGGGACTTACCAGTCGGATTGACTGACTGTACTAACTTATGACTGAGTTTGACTCATCAATTGGAAAGTTGAACTTTTTTAAAGGGGATGTACAGACAAGTAGAGGCAGAATCCACTTTCTGGGGAGATTGTTTACTTCTGTTGCATATAGTTTTAAGATAGCAGTGGAAAGCCTTATAGAAATACCTATGGAACACCATATGTGTTTAATTTTATTAATAGGTTACCAATAGCAAGGTATTCCATCAATTTATACATTATTTTCTGAGAATAATTTTATTCTGTTACTTCCAGGATGGGAAGTGATTTTAACATTTTACATTGTGTTGGGTTAATAACTGTTTGCTTGAGTAGCTGTTACTCATTGTATTGAAAAGGAAAAGTGAGACCAAGTCTGCACTACCGGTTAACTCACTTTTTTTAATGTGTGTTGGTTCACATTGTGTACACCACACCTACTTTTGGCAACTTGCTGCTTTCAGTGCTCCTTTTATTTGTAGGGGATTCTGTTTCTATAAGTGTTGGGATATTTTTTGGACAACTGGATTGTCCCAAGGGATATGTGGGTGGTGTTTGGTCTTCAGCCTCTTCCTTCATCATTCCTTGTTTCAAAACAAGTCTTGCAAGAATTGCACGATTTCGTAGTCATGCATTCTCATCACACTAATTCACGAATAAGCATATTTTAAATTTTATACGTTTGCTGATATGAAGAAGGATCACCAAGCAAGTTTGTCTTTTTGCACATTTTAATCAAAGGCAAATGAAATTACAAACCTCACCATTTGAAGCACAGGGACAAAGAAGTAGAGAGGATTGTTGGCAAAGATAAAAATCGTGACAAGTAATTTCATGCTAGTAAATGGTGTAGGGAATATGCCCTGAAACAGTCTTTTAAGTGTGACAGCACTGAACCTGTACAGGTTTCCGGGTATTTTGAGTGCAGTTGATGCCAGTGACTAAATTCTAGTCAACAGTGATTTGTGGTATACTATTAGTGCAGGCAAAGCCCATGGACCAACCTTGTAGTTTTCAGCTCAGCTGTGTACAATAGGGAAATACTTATGGAATGCACTAGACCACACAACTGTGATAGGGGTACAAAAGCTACATATATTTTAAACTGAACCAGGGAGTTTTAATTAAATTATAATGGATTTTTTTTGTCTTTTCCGGAGCTGAATGTATTGGTACATACTACTACCATTACCTTATCTATGAGCATTATAGGTAACAAACTGCCCTTCTTTATGCCTTGTTCACTTTGTTCAAAACCCATCTCCTTCCACCAGCTTCTACGGAAAGTTTTAATATATTGAGTTCTTCTTTACAGGGCACTAGTGTTAATCAGTGCAACTGGTAGAGCAAAATTGATACTTATGCATGTATATTGGAGTCCTGAAATATGCCATATAATACAAAAAATACCAACCACACCCTTCCTTTCTGATGTTTTGGTCCTAGGTTGATAAATTTCTTTCAAGTGTTCTTTTGAAAACACTTCTCAATGCAAACACTAATCTATTGTCAAAATCCAGTGTAATTATAGCAAAGTAATTACACAGTGCATTCTGCAAACATTTTATAGTCCACAATTTGTATGGGCCTCAGCCTAGTAAACATTTGATTAAATTGTAATGAGCAGGGATGCAGCAACTGCCTGCATCTTATCCAGTCAAAAGTGTTTGCACTGCATTTTGTATAAAGTACCTACTATAGGTACTTGCATTTTTTCACAACTTCAGAAGGTTACTTGCAAATGCTATTTTTTTTTCTTTTTAATTCTTAAAATGGCTAGAGAATCCAGGAAATCACAATTTGCAATTGTTGAAGGATGTGCATCTTAAGACATTAGTAGTTATGTAAGTAGTGGCATATGTTTAATACAGGACTGCAAAGTTTGACTAAGTGTAGAATAATTCATTAAAATTTTTGATCAAAAAGATTAATAGAGTAACACATTTTCAATAATAGTAATGTAAGTACTTCACCTGGAAATTCCAGGCATTGTCTTAGAAAAGTCCAAGATTAATATATTCAAGATAATTAATAATTTGGTACAGTTCTTTAGAAGGAGATTGTTTCTGTAAATGCCAAGATGCATAGTTACTTTTCTGCCCTTCACAGAAGCAGCCGTCCATCAGAAGCAGCTATATTTAAAATATTGCCGTATGAAGTACTTGTGGCTGCAATCTCTTGTCTAATTTTTTTTATTAAAAGAGGCAAGTGTCTAAAAATGTTACAATAACACTGTGCTGCTTTTCTAATATCTTGGGTGATATTTGTTTTAGATTAGCTCTTGTGTACATAGCAGGCGTTATTTCCTTCTTGTTAAAAGATAATAATTCTGTTATGAGTATTATGCCTCTTCCTGTAGAGAGATGCCCTACATGGATTAGATGCATGATTGATCAACAAATACTAATGACAGTTACTGACCAAATGAACAGAACTACTGCCCTCTCCCAAGGTATGAGAATATCAAAAGCATAGAAAATGGTAAATGATAGAATAGGAAATTGCTGCTAAGTGTGAAAATAGTTGCTACACATACAACGTTACTAACATAAAGTATGCTTTGTACAGCATTGGTAAAAGTTTGGTGTAAACGTTAGGTGAGTCAGAATAAGCTAATTGATCAAGTAGAAAGAAGCTGACATGACTTTGTGTGGCTTTAGCACAAATTTAATTCATTGAAAACTAAAAGGAATAGCTGTAACTACCATATTTTTACACTTTCAAAATTAAGTACAGTTAACTTGTGTTATACACATTTCGCTTGTGTGTATTCAGTTTTATGCACTTGGCAAATTAAAAACAAACAAACAAGGGGGCAGACCTAAAAAAAACCCCTAACTTTTGCAATTCCATCCATCATTGCATCCAGTATGTTTTGACTATATGTAATTTTGACTTCATGCGTTATCCCTGGAATGTAACTCCCACGTAAGTTTGAGAGTTGCCCGTTTCCAGTTGTTTTGCAGGCTGAGATTTAGGGCCAGTTCCTTTGTAGAGGAATGCCAGTGGATTTTCAGGAAAGAAGAGCCTAAACCGGGGTGGCTGATTGGTGGCTTCCAGATGTTGCTGGACTCTTAACACCCATCAGACCTTGTCAGCATATCCAGTGATGATGGGAGTTGTAATACAGCAGTGTCTGAAGGTCCACTGGTTGGCCACTCCCCTGTCATAAACATTGGTGAGATTCTGAAGAGTTAATAGTACTAACACTAATAATTTTATTATTTGTATGCCGCCCATCTGACTGGGTTGCCCCAGCCACTCTGGGCGGCTCCCAACAGAATATTAAAAACACAATAAAACATCAAACATTAAAACCTTCCCTAAACAGGGCTGCCTTCAGATATCTTCTAAAAGTCAATTAGTTGTTTATTTCCTTGACATTTGATGGGAGGGCATTCCCGCAGGGTGGGCTCCACCACCAAAAAGGCCTTCTGCCTGGTTCCCTGTAGCTTCACTTCTCGCAGTGAGGGAACTGCCAGAAGGCCCTCAGAGGTGGACCTCAGCGTCCGGGCAGAATGATGGAGGTGAAGACACTCCTTCAGGTATACAGGGCCAAAGCCACGTGTGCCAGATTATGTTGCTATGTCCTGTAGAATTTTGCTTCCTACCCCATTAAAAGGTAGTAACTCCACTCCACCCACATAATACATTGCTTTTGAGATTTCCCTTGGCCTCAGAAGAGATTTTCTATATGGCTATAGAGTGGGTTGGCTGTTGAGGAAATGCTAGTCAAAGTCTTCTAAGAGCATATTGCATTATTGGTTGTGCAGTTTTGATGCCTCTTTCAGCAAAGCCCTATTGTTTTCCCCCCCTCTTTGACATTTTTTGCAGACACTAATCTATGATATGCAAAGTATTGGTTCTAGGCCTGTTATTTTGATTAGGCTAGCTGTTTTTATTTTCCAGAACTCCTGGGTCGACTTAGTTGAAAAATGCTTATTGTTTGACACACTCTAGGAATGTAAAAAAGCATGGAAAAAGCCAGATGTCATTTGTGACCTGCCTGCCAGATGGCATTCAGAATTCAGTTTTTCAAGCAAATGATCTGAATTGCCTTTCGAGGCACCCCCAAACTTGGCCCTCCAGATGTTTTGGGACTACAGTTCCCATCATCCCTAACCACTGGTCCTGTTAGCTAGGGGTGATGGGAGTTGTAGTCCCACAACATCTGGAGGGCCACGTTTGGCCATGCCTGCCCCAAACAATATTAGTGATCCTTTTAGATCAATTCATGGACTTTGTGCCAATATTTTATGAAAAAATGTAGGAGTTAAGCCCCGTTTCACAGAGGTTTGTCTACAGTATACAAATGTTTCTCAGGGATATGGCTAGCTATTCTGATTTTGATGTCAATATGCTATGAAATTCAATCCTGCCTTTTTCTGCCTATGTTGCAGAAGCAGCAGAGTGTAGCAGGTAAGGAGGAAGGGAGCAGCAAATTCAGAGTAGAAGGTGAGGTATCATAATTGGTCCTGCATCCAAGATGGTTAAAGGCTCATTCTTCTATGTGCTAGTTATCTCTGTTGTGTCCTCTATTCTGGGCACCCCTGTATTGCAAACAAATTGTACAGATCTCAATGGGACATAATAAAATAGGTGGGCAGAACAGGCCAGACTTCAGTTGGTTACTAGGTAGGTAGCATTAAAGTGTTGATATAGGACAGGTTGCTAAGAAGCTATGAGCGATTGAGTGCTTGAAGAAATTGAATGAATGCTTCTGCAAAAAGAAAAAGAAAAATGGTAAGCATTTGGGCAAACAAACAGTTAATTCTGAGTTAAAAGTTTTTCATATGCTCATTATAATGGAACTAAGTTATTAACTCTGGGAAAGTCCTATAAATGTCATTGTGGAGCTGCTGCTTGAGGAGTCTCTAGAAAAGAGGATTCAAAAGTGCAAAACTAATACTGAGAAATGATTGTAGGAATAGCATACATGGGTACTTGGGGGTGGAAGAATAAAAAATTAAGGCCCTAATGCTAAAAGAAGTATTGAGAAGAAAACTGTATTTCCTGGAAAGTGTGTTGATTCCTTCAAGTGCATGTCTTTCTTCAAATGGTAAGACACATAATTACAAAAATGGTCTAAATTAATAATCAGAAAAATGAAGACTAGCAGAACTGGATGAACACACAGAGATGAGCAAAAAATTGATCTCTTTGCAAAGGGATGCAATTAGCACTTTATGAGATTTTGGGAACACAAATTAAAATTTAACTGAAATTGTTCTTTCTGCTTCTGTATGCTGTTTCAAACCTGCATTTTACATAGGAGGATACAAGGCCTTATTTTTCCTGCCCATCCTCTCCACTGTTTCCCCCCCCCTCCCCGAATCAAAGCTTCTCCTGGCAATTTGAAACCCCAAGAAGATGTGGCATAAGGTATAGGTGGGAAGAAATAGGGCAGGAAAACCTTGTTACGTGGGCAGCCTCCTGCTCATGAAAATGTGGATGCAAGCTGTTGTAAAGCATGAGCTGATTAATGCTGATAAGTAGACAGTCCATAAAGCTAGACTATGAGTGTAATCCAAGGCCAGACAGGCACCGGTGCCTTGTGTGTTTTTCTGTGGAGTCCATGTACTTATGAGAATTTCCTGTTACATGTGCAGAATACTCCTGAGCTCATGGAAGAGTACATGAAATCCCTGGTGTGTGTCACATCTTCTGGCTCACAAGTCGTAAATCGTTGAGGGTCTATGGAATACACCATGACGTTATTGTTTTTACATACACTAATTCTGAATATATTTTAATACTGCCACATCTCTCGCTACATAAATGCTACTGTCTTACCTTGCGACTCTTTCAAAACCCAGCTGCTATTTAGCCACCATTCATTTTTCTCATTACTTGATTTACGGAAGTACATGGGAAGGGCTGAATGAATAGTGCTCTAATTGGGTATCTTTTCCCTTTCAGTAGTTATAGAGGTCATCTTAATTCCCCTTTCTCCTTTGGGCCACTTTCTTTTCTGAGGTTTGTCTGTTCCAGGTATGATTTGTGCTGCTAGTCTCACCTTTGTTCTTTTTTTAATGATAGATAAATATATTTGCTGTTTCTTTACACTTTTGTAAAGGTGTTCTTTTCTGTCGAGTAGTAGACGGAGTCTATAGACTGAGGCGCAAACAACAAATTCATTAAACTGGTTGAGAGGGCCTTAAATTTGAGTTGAGCCTCAACAATGGCTAAGTGTTACATCACTACTGGTTAATGCTAACTACGATTCACACTTCATTGGGATTTTTAATCAGCTTCTGACTTTTTTTCTGGTTAGTGCTAACCATGATTAACATCTATGCCAACATACCCCTCAATTGGGTTGAAGCTTTTGTGGGAAATTCAAGCTGGGTGGGTGGGTGGGTGGCAGTGAGCAACCCCAAATAACAGGCTCCCAAGTTCTTAGCCATGGCTAGGGGATCAGAAAGTATTGCAGCTGCTTAGGCCTATGGTGCAATGACCTCTTATGGCCATAGCCTCTGATGGTTTCACAGAGCAGCTTTGTGTACTCCCACCCTCATACTGGAGTGGGATCGCATGTATTTGAATGGCACAAAAGGACTCCAGTTGAGATGGTTTCACTAGAGAAGATTAGTAACAAGTTTGAGAAATTGAGGGCCCAGTTAGGCAGAAAGCTGTGGGACACAAGTTGAAGAATCATGGTACTTGTTGAGTACAATCGAAATATAAAAATGAGCATAGAACAATGAAGTTCTTAAAAAAACAAAAAACAAAACCTGATTTTTTTGTGCTTTGTTCTTTTGGTGTTTCCAAAGTTCTGTTTGTAGAATCTGAGCAAAAGCAATAATTCTATCATACAGCAGGACCCATTCGCTTGAAGGAAATGCTTTAGTTGCCGCTGGTTTCCTTGCGGAGGAGAAAAAAACATAGTGCTTTACAAAGTATATACTCAAATTAATGCTCACCAAGCTCAATTAAAAATGTCCTAAAATAAGACAAACCTGTGGAAATGCTTCAGTTGCCACCAGTTTCCTTGCGGAGAAGCAAAAAAAGTGCTTTACAGTTAAAATGCCCTGAAAATCAGACATACATGGGGAAGGCTGGAATTAATTTTCGTGGTATTAGAAATGTGTTCTTGGACTCGCAAAGTGAGTGAGAAGTTAATGACTATTGTGGAAGTATGAATGTACTGTATATGCATGTGGCTCTGCCGTTTTTTCTTTTATTTTCATGTACCCTGAATTTGGAGTATAGGAAACACACGAGACGAGTGCACTTTAGTGTGGCACAGTATAAACTTAACTATGAGCACAATAGGTAACAAGCAGCCCCTTTAAGACCTTGTTCACACTACATACCTGCATTCTGGCTAGAACATGGTGCTTGTAACATCTGGGTTTCCATGTGAAGAAAATATTTTTCATGGAGGAGCTTTCAACCATCTGAGTCCCCACATAGTCTTAAGTGTATGTTGATCACCTTGGAGAGAACTCAACCTTGTATTCAATACATTCTAATTTGAGCAGCTGTTCCCAGACTAATAGTTTGTTAAAACCACACTTACATATTTGGAGCAATATAGTCCCTCTATAAGCAAATGTGACCACATTATTTGCATTGTGTGCTTTGGATTAAAAGGTTACCAATTTGTATGTGTAATTGTACAACAAAGTTAACTTTATTGCTACAACTGCAGTGCTGCTTAATTTTCTTTAGATCTAAATAAGGTTAACATAGGATGTAGCGACACTGTTTTAATAGACTGGTAAATAGGGTTTTGGTGTTAGCTTTTTCTACAGAATGAAAAAGAGCCTTAATTGGGTAAACAGTGGTGTTATTGTTTAGAATGCCTTAAGATATGTATCATATGAAATGGGCACTCATTTGAATCTGTAGGTATGCAGCTTTCCCCCTAAATAATTGAGTTCTGCCTTAAGCCACGCCACCCTGAGATCTGAGAGTGTACAATTGAACAGGCTAGCATTAAAATAGGAAATGGGTGGGGTGGGGTGGGAATAGGTCTTTGTGGTAAAAGGATAAAAAGTGTAAATGTCTTAGAAAAAATTCCTTTTACATGTTAATGTAGCATTATAAAGGCAACCTAGACATACCAGCATTTTGCATGTTTTTGTTTTTGCATTTATTTGATGGAGCTATATTGTACTGTGGGAAAACCCTATATACAAAAAGCTGTTCAATACAAATTGGTAATCCATAGACCAGATTAATTTATTTTATTAATATTGTGGGAAGATCAGTTTTCACTTGAGGGTTCAGTTTCAGTTCTTTAAGAAACATTGAAATAGAGATATTTACCAGCATCTGTGCAAAATGTTTTTTTAATGGTATGTTTAGTGTGAAATGTATGTGTTTGTCTAATTGGTAGATAAATATTACTTAACAGGGTCATAAAGAACTTATCAAAACTTTTAACTCTTGCAACGGCAGGAAAAATGCTGTTATTCAGGTCTCTATGTTGTGATTTTTGCTTTATATATGTTAAAGGTGCACTATGTCATTCAAAACAAGAAGGAAGACTGCCTATGAATTACAAAATTTATCCATTTAAACTTTTACAATTGAAGTTTATACATTTTGTTGTTTGCTTGTATTTTGACTGAATTTGCTGCTCAGTTTTTTAGAATTAAAAACTGCCTTCTATTGGAGCAAAATACATTACTTGTGAATGTGAGTAATGAAGCCCTGATAATCACTACCTATATACACAGCTTATGGAGAGGGCTATTTTGAATAGAGGATCGGGGATGTGTAAAGTCGAAATCAAAATCTCCTCTTGAAGGTTTAATTTTAAAATGAAAACAGCTGTCACAGCTTCATGAAATAATTTGAGTATAACACAAAGGCCTTAAGAGGTTTGTGTTGGTATCTGACTTCTACTTTAAAACATGCTGGAAAATCAGCCTTAATATCTCTTTTTTTAAAAATAATAATCAAAAATCAAATAGTGCATCTTTAACTGTGACATGATCACTTTCTTAATAAGAAAGGTGAACATTGCCAGACAATGTGGTTTTTGATCTTACTCATAACCCTAATCCTTAAATAATTACATGAACGTTTTTTGACGCTGCAAATGAATTGTTCCTAATCTACATTATGATTTGTAGAACACGACAAGTACAAAATAAATTCTATGCATATCATTCTCTTCAGTGACTTCACAATCAATATGCATGTAGTAAGGCTCACTAAATGGTAGGCATATGTATGGAAAATGAGGCCATAAAGATCAGCTGGAACAGATGTTGGGCAGGTGCTGAATGCTGTTTACCTCTGCATGCCTACATTCTGCCTCTTTGGGTGAGGTCCAGTGTAGCACAAATTGGCATTCCCTCATGCAATGGGACTTCTCCCTGCCACCCCCTTTCAGCCTCCCATGCACGCTCAAAGCCTGTTCTTGAGGGTTGGGGGATATTCCATGGCAGAAGAGAATTTTTATTGCCCAGGTGGGTGGGCTTCATTAGATGTGACCCTTTGTTTCCAGGCCTCTGATGTAAGTTGGCCTTTGTGGTGAGAGCCAGTGTGGTGTAGTGGTTAAGAGCAGTGGACTCGTAATCTGGGGAACTGGGTTCACTTCCCCGCTCCTCCACATGCAGCTGCTGGGTGACCTTGGGCTGGTCACACTTCTCTGAAGTCTCTCTTTTTTTTTTTTTTAAATGATATTTATTGAAAATTTTAGAATTACAAAGAAGAAAAAAAGAAAGAAAAAACAGAAAAGACAAACCACAATCAAACAATACAGATTAATAAAAATCAAGATCAAAAAATGACACAACACAATTAAAAAACAAAAATATATCACAAACATTTAAAAACAAATCCAATATTCTCAACTCTTTAACTGTCATTACCTTCTTTCTTTGACCTCCTCCTCCTCCCTTTTTTGTATCCTAGTTGTTAATTGTCGCAGCAAATCCTTTCCATATTTCATAATATTCTGTCATTACTTTACCTTAATCTATTTTAATCTTATCTTACTATGAAAACCTTAAAACTTAAATCTTATATTTACCAATTTCTGATAACCATAATATTCTTACATAATTCTTTAAACATTTTTACTAAAGCCAAATAATTTCGTTTCAACATCTTTCTAACATTCATCAATTTTATAAAACAATCATAATAAAAGAAATAACAATCCAGTCTTCATCCAGCGTCTCTTCCTCCTGGACCCGGGTTTTGTCAGTCCTTTCTATCCCATCAATCTAGCGCATTAACCTGGTAACCTTATGTCCGAGGCCCTTAAGTCCCTTCCATGTCCCTTCCACAGCTCTTCATATTTATAGCTGTATTTTCCTTTGTCTCCTACTTCTTTCACTCTTGGGAACTCCAGCTTGAGAATGCTTTTGACCCTTCTCGACAAATCAGCCTCTTTTCCATAGTCCACACTAAGCTCCATGTGGTATTTAAGAACATCCCTCCAAAGTCCCTCCAAAATTGAGAGCCCCCACAACCGCAAACAACTCACGGCCCATTGCCAGACTCGAAAAGTCCAAACCTCCCTGCATAGGGGGGTCTATCCAACCCCCCATTTCCAAGCCAAACCAAACTTTATCTTTCCAAATCTGGCTTTTTCCAAGTTCATTTGTCAAGTCCAAAAATTCATGTTCCTGCTGGGCTGCAGCTCCCTCCATCTCTGGCGCCCAAGATTCAGCAACATCCTCTTCCCTCATCTGTTCTGTCAGGGCACACTCCTGATCTGATTCCTGGGTGGGCTCTATATAATTTCCCACTGCCTGTCCAAAATTTCTAATCGCATCAGTCATAAAATCCGTCTTCTCATGTAGCTGTTCCAATAGGGCACTTGTTTTACAGAAAGCACTCAACAGAGCTTCTGAATACATTGTCCTGCAAGGTCAGAAGTCTATTCCCACGATCGTAATCTGTAACAGCTGCGAGCTCCCCGATTCAAATTTGGTTACAGTTTCACAGGCTCCCTCTAGGGGAAGAACTTCTGTTTGTTCTTTTCTTTTAAAAACAGATCTAACAACAAAGTTTCCTTTTTCAGATATTTTGTCAATATTTGTTCCTTTAAAATGCGAAGGGGAACAATGGAATCACTATGTATCTCTTCCTTTAGCTATCTGTCAGAAACGTTTGTCTCTGGTCAATGAGCTTCAAAAAACGTCAGTCCTGACACCCCGCTCCAGGATCAAGACGGTGGAAAGTTACTTTACTTTACACTCACTTCTGCAGGTTTAAACAGTCCGGAAAAAATCCCCCCTCTTCTCCTGCTTCCGAAGGGGGTTCAACAATTTTAAATGATGAAAGTTAATCCTTTAGAAACGATTTTCAGAACTCTAGTTTGCCGTGTCTTTGCTTTAATCTATCTACAAAGAAACGGAAGGCTGACTTCCTGTTTAGACCTTCCCGTTTCAGTGCCAAATTAAATTAAACTTTTAAGTCCAGTTTTCCTTTCTGCTCGCAAATCCTTATTTAGAGTCCAATTGTCCAAAACTTAAGTACTCACGGGTGGTTGTTTTAAAAGCCAAATTGTCCCAGGAAAAAGGCAGCGCTCTCCGGCAACAGCTGTGCGGCTTTCGCTCCACGGAAGAAGCAGTTGACTCTCAGCACCGCGCCACTTCCCCCTCTTCGCTCCGGAGCCCGTTAGTGGGTTCCTTTGCGGGTTGGGGGGGCGCTAAAGGTGCCCGCCGAGTCCCATGGTCACAGGCTTCATCCGCCTGTGATTTTTGAATGGGTCCCCGCTTCGCCGTAGCGGAAAAGACCCGTTTCCCGTGGAGCTGGTCCCTCCAGTTCAGAGGGAATCCGCCATTGCCGATGGCGCCACCCCGGAAGTCTACTTCTCTGAAGTCTCTCAGCCTCACTCGTCTCACAGAGTGCTTGTGGTGGGGGAGGAAAGGAAAGGAGATTGTTAGTCACTTTGAGACTCCTTAGGGTAGTGATAAAGTGGGATATCAAATCCAAACTCCTCCTCCTCCTCCTCCTCTTCTTTGTCCTTGGCTGTTAAGCTTCTGGTGGCTCTCACAACCATTATGTGTTTCCTAACGAATTCTCACAATGCACTTACCCTTCCTGTAAGCTTTCTCGACCATGTGTGCCCCGCTCCCCTCCGTACTGACATAGTTATTTAGGAGAAAGACTGTGGTATCTTGTAGGATCACCGACTTCACATTTCAAAATCGAGAAAATATGTTTCAAGATTGGCTTTACAATTAAGGGGGCTCTAGGTGGTGTGGCGGCTTTTTGGTGCAGAAATGAATGGAAGGAATTTGCTCTGGTTTTCCCGTGGTTATTGTGGTGATGCCATAGGAAGGCCAACCATTTCAACCAAATGCATATACTTGTTGCGTCATTTTTCTGCAGGAGAAAAACAAGTATGTGTTTGGAGATAAAATTGATTTGAACACGGACAAATGCACTAGCATGAAGGTTATGAATTGTAACATCCACCTTCTAGAGCAGTATGGTGAACCCTGCGTCCCTTCGGATGCTTTTTGACAACTCCCACCATCCCAGACCACTGGCTGTGCTTCCTAGTACGGCTGGGAGTCGAACAATATTCAGTATCCCTGCTCTAGCACTTTTAAGGCTACATTCCTATACTCACTTACCTGGTAGTAAGACCCACTGAACTAAACTGAACTTTGAGAAGGCATTAGTAGTGCACTCCTTTTATTGTCTCTTTCCCTTAGAAAGTGTTGTAGGGACTAAAAGTTCACTGGCTAGCCATTTCAAATTAAAATATTTCTAATATGTCCTTCATTGCACATGATTCCATGACAGTATAATGATCCACTCCTCACACGTCACACTAGCTCGATAACGATTTTGTGACATTTTATTCTTGGTCACAATAAAGGTATTCACAGACAATGGATTTCCTTTTGTGTTTTGTGTGGCTTCATCAATCACAGATTAGAAACAACGTACTTTGGGCACAAACCATGTTAGCAGTCTCACAGTTCATTGAATTGAAATCTACACTTCAGACGATTTTTGCTGCTCCCTGAGCTACTCCAGCAAATGCAAGTTTCCCATATTCATTTGAAGCACAGTGATAAAAGCACAAAGTTATGTAATTCTGGGTTTCCACATTGAGTGTGGTGCTTCTTGTTGCACAACTGTACCTTGTAAAGAGGTTGGCTGCTCTGCCCTGTCAAAGCATGGCATTCTGGTACAAGCATGTGAAAGTATTGAGGGAAAGGTATTTTGGTTGACAGTATTTGCTTGAAAAGCGGGATAGCAATAATGATTAAAGCTAGATATAAGGTAAAGGTAAAGGGACCCCTGACCATTAGGTCCAGTCGTGGCCGACTCTGGGGTTGCAGCGCTCATCTCGCTTTATTGGCCGCGGGAGCCGGCGTACAGCTTCTGGGCCATGTGGCGAACCAGAGCAGCGCACGGAAACGCATTTACCTTCCCACCAGAGCGGTACCTATTTATCTACTTGCACTTTGACGTGCTTTCGAACTGCTAGGTTGGCAGGGGCAGGGACTGAGCAATGGGGATTCGAACTGCCAAACTTCTGATCAGCAAGTCCTGGGCTCTGCGGTGTAACCCACAGTGCCACCAAATGCACATTATATAATTGCACACACTTAATGGCAAATACTGAAGTATCTTACTTTGCTCAAGTATTCAGCAACAGGGAAAACTTTTGTAGAAAATACCACTGAAAAACAGGATCGTGCCACTTCCAGATGTTGATGAACTATACCTATCACCCCATGGCTGGTAGGAACTGTAGAGCCACAAGTTGGCTACTCATAGTATAAAATGTCGCTTGTAATTTATGAGCATAAAAATAAAAATAAGCACTGTTGCAGCAGTGGGCTAGAGAACCTTCGGTGTTCTGCACCAGGGAAGCTTGGAGATGTGTTTTAAAAACAGTCCATTCTACTTTACCTGTAGCTTTAGCCTGTCACTTCAGATTGCAATACAGTGGTGCCCCGCAAGACTAATGCCTCGCAAGACGAAAAACTCGCTAGACGAAAGAGTTTTCCGTTTTTTGAGTCGTTCCCCAAGATGAATTTCCCTATGGGCTTGCTTCGCAAGACGAAACGTCTTGCGAGTTCTTGCGAGTTTGTTTCCTTTTTCTTAAAGCCGCTAAGCCGTTAATAGCCACTAAGCCGTTAATAGCCGTTAAGCTGTTAATAGCCGCTAAGCCACTAATAGCCGTGCTTCGCAAGACAAAAAAACGGCAAGACGAAGAGACTCGCGGAACGGATTAATTTCGTCTTGCGAGGCACCACTGTACCACACTTCTTTAATATCTTTCCTCCTCTCACCTCTCCACCTGCTTGATTCGAACTGTGACAAGCTAATCCTCTGCCATTGCTTTCAAGGTCTGGCAATGAGGTCGGGAAGGGAGAGAGTGCCAGCTAGACTCTTTGCTTGTACGCTCCTCCCACCCCCTTGGGCATGGTCACAACAAGGAGTTCAAAATGCTTGCTTCTGGTTTCCATTAACCACAGCTCAGCATTATGCGTATACCTTGGGATTCATCTTTGGTTTTTGAAACAAGCTAACAGCATCAACCCGATTTGGAAGCTGGCATACACACACATATTTCACATAGATCGGAGGTGTTTTATTTGTGTATCCTTGGCAGTGTTCCAACTGCCAGCACAATTAATGCATGCAACATGCATTTCTTGTACTGTAGTTTAATCTCAATGGAAAGGGTGGAGTATGAGGACTGCTCCATTTAATTCCAACTGCAGCTTTTGTCTAAGAGGCCAGAGACGCTGCTCTAATTTGAATAAAGGAGACATCTATGCTAGGATAAACCTAGCGTACTACAAGGTAGCTAATGTTGGGAATTCCATTCCACCCTTGCTGCAGATATGTGGGATTGTTACATGTCACATGTCTGTTTGCATTCCAGCGCAGATTGCTGGAGTCCCGTGAGCGGAACATCCACTCTGTATTGCTTTTGTTTTCTCTCTCTCTGAGAAGAGCGACAAGGAGAGAAGCCATGTTTTTCTTTGTCCTGATTTATGTTCAATAAACATAGCCTAGTATCCACGCCTCGAGCCAGCTCTGTTGTGTGTTTACACTGCTGAGTAATGTGTGCTTATGCACAGCTGCACGAGTCTCAGATGCATGTCGGAGGAGGATGACTGATGGATCTCTACAGCAGCAAGGCTGGGACGGGAGACGCTCCGGCTAGGGCCAAGCCAGCTGGCTTTTCATCCCACGGTTCTGATAGCTAATACAGCCACGGAATTAATGCGCAAGCATCCGCTTAGAGTTTGGTTACCTAACACTGCTCTCTTTACATTTGACACATGTAGTACCGTATTTTTCGCCCTATAGGATGCACCGGCCCATAGGACGCACCTAGATTTTTGGGGGGAAATAAAGGAAAAAAATTTTATTCCCCCCCCCCCCAGTCGCGCCGGGCTCCCACAGCTTGCGGAGAGCTGCGCGAAGCCCGCTCTGGGAGCATGCAGGGCTAGGGGAGGGGGAAGCCCGCCGCCAGCCTCCAAACCAGGTCGGGGGACAGTGGGATGGCGGCGTTCCGCCTTCCCGCTGTCCCCCGAGCTTGTGGGGCTGGTGGTGGGGCTCTCCTGAAGCCTGGCGAGTGAGAGGGGTCGGTACGCACCGACCCCTCTCGCTCTCCAGGCTTCAGCGAAAGCCTGCATTCGCCCCATAGGACGCACACACATTTCCCCTTCATTTTTGGAGGGGAAAAAGTGCGTCCTATAGGGCGAAAAATACGGTAATTCTTTGCTGCAGAATATACTAGCTGAATCTTGAACTGATTCTAGATGAAGCTGAGGTTAGTTACCACACTTCAGGGGAAACTAAGTCACTATTAACTTCCCACATTTATTTCAATGATGCCAAAGTGCAATTTAATTTAAGCTCGAAATAAAAAAATGTCCAGTAGCACTTTAGAGACCAACCAAGTTTGTTCTGGGTATAAGCTATTGTGTGCATGCAGACTTCTTCAGATACCAGATACCTGAAGAAGTGCATGCACATGAAAGCTTATACCCAGAACAAACTTGGTTGGTCTCTAAGGTGCTACTGGACATTATTATTATTATTATTATTATTATTATTATTATTTCGACTGCGTCAGGCCAACGCGGCTACCTACCTTAATTTAAGCTGCAATAATACTGTGACCTCGGAGCAAACCCCAATGAATTCAGTAGGGTTTACTTCTGCGTAGATGTGGTTAGGACTGTGTTGTCAGCTATTTGCATTGGGGTGGACCTAAATGAAATTTAAATATTTAAATAGAATTTGTGGTTAAATTGAAAACAAGCAGTGCACTCCTATGCATTTTTACTCCTTCAACAGAGCTTATTTTGTATTGAGAATGTACAAGAGTGCTTTGTGAATTTAGGATGAACTGGCTCATGATAAATTATCTGGCTGTTGAAAACCTTCCATGCATATTTTGAACACATAAATAGTACTGAAACCAGAGTACCGGGGTGTAAGAATTCATAACTAAGTATATGCAGTCTAATAAACTCCAGCAACACAACTGTGTCAGAAGCAAGGGAATCAAGGAAGACTACATGGCTGTTCTGAGTTTCGCCCTCTTCTCAAGAGACACTGGTGAACTAATGGGAGCAGTTTGCCGTCCCGATGAAGTCTCTGTGTGTCTGTAGCACCTCCAACAAATGTTCCATTGATAAATATTCTTGGAACCTGTTGAGTATAAAAATTAACAAATGAATCTTATTTCTTGCATATAAGCTTAAAACGCACATGCTGTATATTCTATAATGTTACCACTTATGTCCCGGTATGGCAGGGGTGGCCAACTCCCAAGAGACTGCGATCTACTCACAGAGTTAAAAACTGGCAGGCCAAAAGAGTTTTTTTAGGAGCTTTTTTTTTTAGGAAGGAGGAAGGCCCATTTTTGCAGGGTTCGGGTCAAAGTTGTTGAGTTTTTTCAGGGAGGAGGTAAAATGTTGAGCTACTTTTAGGGGAGCCACAGTTGTTCAGTTTCTTTGGGGGGAGCCAATGATCTGCCAGTGATCTACTGCAGACGTCCAGTGATCTACTTGGTGGCCATGCCTGCAGTATAGTATTTCTGGGCTGTAGCAGAAATAGCCATGGAGCTGGACAAATGGCATGCATAAATGGCAAGCAATGCCCAACTCTTCAATATTGAAATTGAAATTGAAATACTTTATTGTCACTGTACAACTTGTATACAGTGAGATTACACGAGCACCCCCCACTCAGCTCTCTTTGTCTTAATTCCCCTCGTTTACTGACGTACACCCACCAAACCCGAAAGTTGCCCTGTTGTTATCTTTTCATTCAACAGCCTAACAGCCCACAGATAGAAGCTGTTCTTTACCCTGTTGGTGCGACTAATCATGTTTCTATATCTTCTGCCCGAGGGCAGGAGATCAAGAAAGTGCCGGCCAGGGTGTGAATCATCCCTGAGAATTTTCCTCACGCTCCTGAGGCAATGTTCTTCCGCTATTTCATCCAGCGGATTCACAGGACAGCCCATAATATCTTGTGCTGTATTCACCACCCTCTGTAGGCACTTCCTATCAGTTGATGTCAAACCAGCGTACCACACCGTGATGCAGGATGAAAGGACACTTTCTATTGTTGACCAGTAGAAGGAGATCATCAAATGTTGATTGACATCATTCTTTCACAATACTCTGAGGAGATGGGCTTTCTTAACCACCTGGGTTGTATTTATTTTCCAAGTAAGGTCTTCACTGAGATAAACTCCTAGGAATTTAAAGGAAGAGACTCTCTCCACACAGCCCTCCCCGATGTACAGCGGGGCTAGTTCTCTCTTCCTCCGAAAGTCCAACACCATCTCCTTTGTCTTGCTGATATTAAGGTGCAAGTTGTTCCCTAGGCACCATGTAGATATTTTTTGGACCTCCCCTCTATACACTGATTTGTCTCCACCTGTTATTAAACCCATTATGGTGGTGTCATCTGCAAACTTAATAATTGTGGTAGACGGGTCAGATGATATACAGTCGTATGTATACAATATATTCTGCAGGCAGGAGGTCATGCTAGATTGTCTAAATTCTATGCTCTGAAAGTTTTACCATGAAATCAAACACGGAAAGCAAACTTAAAAACAACAACAACAGGTAGCCCCATCTGATGGATATGAATATCTTAATGATGTAACATCCAAGAAGGCCATAACAGGGCACAAAGCAATAGCTCCCACTCCTATTGTTAGGGTTGTAACCAGTCTCCGGTAACTTTTATTCAGAGGTTCATAGGCACATGTTGTCATGATTGGTGGTCACTGATTAATTCACAGAGAGAGAGGTCTATGTCATCCCATCACCACATCTTGTGGCTACGAGTTCCACAGGTCAATTATTTGCTGTAGGAAGAAATGTATCTACTGGGGGAGGGGATTGGAGAGAGAATTCCCACCCCCGAAGTTTCTGCTATAGGTGACCAAACTTGGAAAGTACTCACTGTCCTGCCGCCAGTCATTTGATGAAGAATATCTTGAAACTGGCTTCCGTTTTCGTACATGTCCAGTTCGATGGCTGTGTAGTTCACATTCATATCTTCAAATAGTTTCTTTGCCATGTTGCAGTAGGAGCATGTGGTTTTCGAGAAGATCACTACACAGTTGTCTGAGATAGTTTGCTAAGTGTTTTAAGAAAAGCTTGCGTGAGCAGTTTCTATACGTAATGTAAGCTTTTAAGTTTTTAACAATATCAAGGTTCTTGCATTTAGATTTTCCCATCCCAGAATTGCCTACAAAGACTGGGGAAGGCAAAGTCTGCTCAAGTCTTGGCTCTCAAAAAATAATCAAAATATTTAACTATAATCTAGAAGCGAATTACCTCTTTAAACTGCAAAAATAAAACCTTGGGTTCACATTTGTCATCTTAGACATCTCACTGTTTGCATCAAGCAAGACATGCTTTTGCCAACGTTCTTCACAGAATGTGCTTGAATATAATCTGAGTACTTTAAAAAAAAATCTTTAAGTAGAAAAAGAAAAAGGAAACTAAAAGACAAAACAAACATACGCTTCATGGGCATGCTAAATATGCAAAAGAAAAATAGCATAAATACATTTTTACAATACTGAGTATATTTACAGAATGGGTTTATAGAAGAACCAATAAATGAGCATTAACATCTAATTGTAAGGGAAAGAATAAGGGGGAAATACAGGCAAGCAAGCAAAGACATAAATGGGGAAAACAAATTGGAAAAGGACTAGTTACATTCCAAATGAATTCATACTTTACATGGACTATATTCAGATGGGTACAGTAACTAAGATACGCCATCAAGGTCAGTCAAATGCACACTTAATCCTCGGGCTCCACAGTTCCGCACAGCACTCAGAATTATGAGTGAGTTTTCCCATGATTAAAATATGCACAGCCTTTTTTGAGCCAAATATCAAATCTAAAATTTGGACCATCTTTCCACCTTGGGCTATAGGAGGTGGGCTGCCACCATAAGATAAGACAAGTGGTTTTTATTTAACTTGGGAGTTACTGCCTTTAAAATAAGAAAGAAGGCACACAAGCCCAATCTGTTTGGAATATTTCTAACAGTGGTGCTGTTTTCAACCATAACAGCAGTCCAAGGAGTCTGGGGAAAATGGGCATAAAGGGCCAATAAGTCTTTATGGCTCCACAGTTCCACCAACAGGACATATTCTCGGAGTATGAATATGTGCCATGTGAAAGGTGCTATCTATTAATAATTTTCATGAATTTTCTCTAAATCAAACAACAATTAAAAACATGTTTCATTATTGGCTATGTTTATATTTCTGATTTGGGGATGTGTTTTCTACCCTGGGCTCTATCGAAAGGAAGGGCAGGAAATAGATTCAACAAATAATAATAATGTGTCATTTAAAAATGACAGGTTGTACAATGACAATAACGGTATTATTATTATTTAAAAACCTGAAAATTTATAAACAATAATTTAAAAGTATTTTCTCTACTTCCTCATGTGTCACATATTTTGTGAACCCGAGGGCTTAATCCTAATTTCTCTAAGACACTCCAGGAGCTTCTTTGGTTAAGGGGCAAGGGTATAAATGAATAAATTTCATACAAAAAACTGGCAGTAGAGTACGTTTAAGGTAAAAGCCATTTCCACTCACCTCTATCTGGTTAGCAGTGGCAGTGTTAGATAAGTCTGTGGTAGCAGATGTACTGTTCCCCATTCTGAAATAAAATCATAAATGGAGCCAAATGAATATATTAATGTTATTTTGCAGAGCTTAGTCAATGTTTACAGAGCAAATAACATCTAAGCAAAATGAAACAAGAAAGGGAGTTGGCAACTGTGTTTTAACATTTTGCACCTCATTAAGACTTCAGCAGAACTGAACTGTTTACTAAGATCTATCTTTTTATTATTATATATGGTATTACTATTTTTTGTAACTAGATCTGAGTTTATTTTTGAAGTGGTCTATAAAATTTTGAATAAAAATAGCCTATACGTCTCTACTCAGAAATATGTCACATTGAGATCAGAATGTATAATATTGTATAAGTGCAGAAGATAAATTATTATAATTACAGTGGTACCTCGGATTAAGTACTTAATTTGTTCCGGAGGTCTGTTCTTAACCTGAAACTGTTCTTAACCTGAAGCACCACTTTAGCTAATGGGGCGTCCCGCTGCCGCCGCAGCACAATTTCTGTTCTCATCCTGAAGCAAAGTTCTTAACCTGAGGTACTATTTTTGGGTTAACAGAGTCTGTAACCTGAAGCATCTGTAACCTGAAGCGTATGTAACCCGAGGTACCCCTATATAAGCTTACTACCTAATGAGCACTCCTGACTCTGAGGAAGTCCGGATGGTGTTAAAGAACTTTTCTGCCAGCAGAGAGTAGCCAGGAAAAAGCCATTGTCAAGAAACATTACCTGTATTTGTAGCATACTGATAACCTCACAGGAATAGAGAGAGAGAACACCCAATTCTGCCAATTTGCAAAAGCATCCTGGCCTGGTCACCTGGAGGTAGCCCTTGTTTGCCACAGGCAACTAGGCAATAACCTGTTTACAAACCTGCCATACAACTAGTACAGCCTAATTGCTTCACATGTTTTGATGCTTCATAATGTCCTTTCTGTAAATAACATGCAAACTGTTATAGACTATAGTGTGCATGCTATTTACTACATTTATGCAAGTTCTTATACAGGCAGGTGGTTTTCATGCATGCCAGGTACAATATTTTGTGCAACCTCTTTCCAGAGAATTTATGGGTTGTTTCCCTCGTGAGGAAAGACTACTGGAGATCTGTAATATGTGTTTATATGCAAATACGTGTCACTCCTGGCGGGAGAATCCAGGATATGCTTAATCCCTCCCCCCATTTTTAAATCTATGGGATCTGGAAGTGCTTACTTTTCACACCATCAACTAGTAAACTTTGCAGAGCTCCACACAGAGGACTGTTTCCTCATTTGGCACAATGTAACAGTATAGCCTTCTTGGGAGAAAAGCAATGACAAACCTAGACAGCATCTTAAAAAGCAGAGACTATGCCAGCAAAGGTCCGCATAGTTAAAGCTATGGTTTTCCCAGTAGTGATGTATGGAAGTGAGAGCTGGACCATACAGAAGGCTGATCGCCAAAGAATGGATGCTTTTGGATTATGGTGTTGGAGGAGACTCTTGAGAGTCCCATGGACTGCAAAAAGATCAAACCTCTCCATTCTTAAGGAAATCAGCCCTGAGTGCTCACTGGAAGGACATATCCTGAAGCTGAGGCTTCAATACTTTGGCCACCTCATGAGAAGAGAAAACTCCCTGGAAAAGACCCTGATGTTGGGAAAGATGGAGGGCGCAAGGAGAAGGGGACGACAGAGGATGAGATGGTTGGATAGTTTTCTCGAAGCTACCAGCATGAGTTTGACCAAACTGCGGAAGGCAGTGGAAGACAGAAGTGCCTGGCGTGCTCTGGTCCATGGGGTCACAAAGAGTCGGACACGACTAAACAACAACAACAACAACATTATAGCCTATACCAGGCGGTCCAACTTTTCATACCAAGTGCGAATACTTTGACACAGAACCCGCAGGCCACACAGTGAATTAAATTTCCACATCGTAAATTAAAGTGTTTGCAATATACTTAATATTATTTAGTATACACAATTAATATATTTGATTCAATATATTTAATTAAATACACAATAAATAGGTTTAAATCTCAGCATTGTGGGTTCCAGCCCCACGTTGGGCAAAAGATTCCTGCATTGCAGGAGGCTGGACTAGATGACCCTGGTGGTCCCTTCCAATTCTACAGTTTTGTGACGAAGGAATCCCAGTGACTGATCCTAGCACTAATACAATGAAAGCATGGGATCCATTTTAATACAGAAGCAAATGCGTGACACAAAAAACAAATTTTCAAGGGTTTAAGATCTTCTTTTCTCAAACGTTGACACCCTGACCTGTACCAGGCTTTTAAAATAAAAATACTGAATATTGAAGCAACTTGGAGATGCTGTGGTCTGTACCTCCCTGGAACTCCTCCCCCAAAATCTGAAAGCATGAGACTCTTGACACAAATCTGCTTGTTTCTAGAGGCTCTGAACCTGTTGCTGTCTGAGGGAAAGGGCCCAGCTTTGCTGATGGACACCTTATAACCTAAGCTGCAGGGAACTGGAAGGGACAACATGAAAGCCTTGCCCTTGCTCCTTCTTAGGAGTGAGATGAAGAAGCATAGAGCTGGAAGGGAACCCAGGATCATCTAGTCCAACCCCCTGGCCATGCAGGAATATCCAGCTCAGTGCCGGATTTACGTATAAGCTAAACAAGCTATAGTTTAGGGCCCCACTCTCTTGGCCCCCCCAAAAAATATACTACTTCTTAATTGCATTTCTCTATTAATATACTTCTTAATTGCATGTCAATTCAACAATTACTTTGATAAAATACATATTTTGTTATGTGCAAATGGCTTTAGATACCTATTAGGTCCATAAATTGCCATATTGCATATATTCAACAGAAAAAAAACAGCGACAATTTGTTGTTGGCAAAGGACAGCTGGACATATAAAGGGCCCCATTACCTTCAGTAACTTAGGGCCTCATCAAACCTAAATCCAGCCCTGATGCAACTGTCCCCATGTGGGGATCGAACCTGCAAGCTTGGTGTTGTCAGCACCATGCTGGAATACCAATTGAGCTGTCCAGTTGCCAAGGGAAGGAGCGTGGAGAGAAAAGAGGGAAGGGAAGCCGCAAGAGGTTGGGAGCAGAGAGAAAGCAGCAGCATGCAAAAAAGGGAAATGCAAGACAAACTGAATCAATGCAAGACATAGCATTTAACTGGAAAATAGGGGCAATCTTGTATGACCAATGGCATTTTATATCGAAACAAGAGGCAATCTTGTATGACCAATGGCATTTTACACTGAAACAAGGGACAGTCTTGTATGATCAATAGCATTTTACGTTGAAATAAAGGGCAATTTTGTATGATCAAGGGCATTTCACATTGAAACAAGGGGCAATCTTGTATGATCAATGGCATTTTACATTGAAATAAAGGGCAATCTTGTATGACCAAGGGCATTTTACATTGAAACAAGGGCTAAATCTTGTATGATCAATGGCATTTTACATTGAAATAAAGGCCAATCTTGTATGACCAAGGGCATTTTACATTGAAACAAGGGCTAAATCTTGTATGATCAATGGCATTTTACCTTGAAATAAGGGGCAATCTTGCATGATCAATGGCATTTTACATTGAAATAAAGGGCAATCTTGTATGACCAAGGGCATTTTACATTGAAACAAGGGCTAAATCTTGTATGATCAAGGGCATTTTACCTTGAAACAAGGGGCAATCTTGTATGATCAATGGCATTTTACATTGAAATAAAGGGCAATCTTGTATGACCAAGGGCATTTTACATTGAAACAAGGGCTAAATCTTGTATGATCAAGGGCATTTTACCTTGAAATAAGGGGCAATCTTGCATGATCAATGGCATTTTACCTTGAAATAAAGGGCAATCTTGTATGACCAAGGGCATTTTACATTGAAACAAGGGCTAAATCTTGTATGATCAATGGCATTTTACCTTGAAATAAGGGGCAATCTTGCATGATCAAGGCAACCCTGCTTGGGGAAAACCTTGCAAAGCGCCTGCTAGGGAAGAAAACCCTGCGGACAGCGCTCCCCCCCCCCCGCGCCCCCCTCCCCCCCGCCAGTACTGACCTTCGCCAGCCCCGCAGCAGACTCAGCCTGGGCAGCGCCTTCCAAGCCATAGGCAACAGCAGCAACAGCAGAAGAGGAAACAGAGGGCGGGGTTTTGCTCAGGCCCCGCCCCTTGGCCCCGTCCTCTTTCGGCCCCGCTCCTCCCTCGAGGACCCTCACCGCTTGAGGCTGGCTATCCGAGTGCCTGCTTTGGTGATTAATTTTTTCCCCTCCACCCTTCCCTTCCCAGCGCGGGCTTCTGACGGGCTTCCTCCGCTGCCCATCACGCGCGGGGGGGGCGGGGCCTCGCCTCAGAACGCCAAGAGCAGGAGGAGGCGGGGCTCCAGGGAGGCGGTCCGTTCTCCTTACGTGCGCAGGCGCCAGCCAGGTCAGGCCAGCGTGGGGTCCTTCTTCTCTTTCTCGCGGCGGCGGCGGCTGGGCCAGTCAGTCAGCGAGTCGCTCGCTCGGTGGTTCGTTCGGTTTGTTTTCCTGTCAGCGAGTGAGGCGGCGGAGGAGGGCGGCGGCGGCGGCGGCGGCGGACTTGAGGAGAGCCGAGCCGTGGGAGCGAGCGCGCGCCCCGGGTCCGCGAGGCCGGCGAAGGGAGCGAGCGAGCGAGGCTTTTCTGAGGGAGCTTTGAGGCTGAGGCGATGGCGGACGTCCTGAGCGTGCTGCGCCAGTACAACACGCAGAAGAAGGAGATCGTGGTGAAGGGGGACGAGGTGATCTTCGGCGAGTTCTCCTGGCCCAAGAACGTCAAGACCAACTATGTCATCTGGGGGTGAGTCCCAGGTCGCGAGGAGGAGGAGGAGGAAGGAGAGGCGCCTTTTCAAAGCTCTGTAAAGCTGGGCGACTCCAGCTGCCGGGCCGGCGGAACGGGCTGCCTCATGATTCTTAAGCGTGTTGGTTCTGTGGGGTTTGGTTGATCCCCTGCCCACCGCACCCGTCTACCTTCCCAAGCTTCGTTTCCAGCATGCACAGAAAAGTTCTGCTGGGGCTGCACAAAGATACTTTAAACGTTGCACATAGGGCTTAACGTTTCTGTGGCGGTAGTTGCCTTTGGAAAATTGAGCTCCTCCTGTATAGAAATGCTTTACATTGCATAGGGGTTTAATATTTCTGTGGCAATAATTTATTGTATTTTAATATTTTGCTGTGGCTGGGGAAACCCAGCCAGATGGGTGGGGTATAAATAAATTATTATTATTATTATTATTTCCCTTGGAACTGCACCCAAGCGACAAGAACCCTGCATCCCTGCTGTACGATAAATACCATATTTTTCCGTGCATAAGATGGCCCCATATATAAGACACCCCCTACTTTTGGGGATTCCAAATTAAGAAAACACCCCTCAGCACTACTCGTGTATAAGACACGCCCCAATTTTAAACCTAATTTTTTGGTTAAAAAAACCTAGTCTTATACACAGAAAAATATGGTATTCAGGGGAGGGGATTAATATTTTCTAAGAAAAAATATGCAAAGGAGGAATAAAATATCCACAGATTTAGAATCATAGTCTTAATCTCCAGCCCCATGTTGGGCAAAAAGATTATTGTGTTGCAGGGGGTTGGACTAGATTGCCCTTAGGGTGCCTTCCAACTCTGTGATTCTCTGATTCCACCCCCAGTGACTGGGGTAGGTTGCCTTTGCACACAGGGCTCTCGTATAGTGCGTTTCAATGCATTTGCCTAATTCTTTTTTTAAAAAAGCCATTTAGGCCAGAGCCTGTGTCACCACATCATGCAGGAACAAGCTCTGTAAACTGGGGGTGTCAGCACTGTAGCTTTGTGCGTGCTTGCCGGGGAGGGAGTGCTGCGTGCTGTATTCAAGTCATGAATTTGTGGGGGAAGCAGGTGGAGAGGTGTGTCTTTCTGACCTCCTGCAAGAATGAGGAGTATAGGGTCCCTAGGAAGAGTTAGGAGAGTCAGGCTGGAGTCTTGTAGGTACTTTCTGGGAAGTAAGTCTCGCTGAACTCTGCAGTGCATTGGTGCTTCAGTGTGGTGCTTCAGGTGGTGCAGGCCTACAGCTTCCACAGTCCTTGCTAGTTGGGGCTGATGGGAGTTGTAGTCTGGCAACAGTTGGAGGGCCACAGGTCCCCCATCCATGGCATCACATGCTTAGGGGCAGTATTAAGGTGAAGTCATATTTGTTTATTCCTGGGAATAAAGAATTGCAGAAGTCAGTGGGTCTTGTTATTGAATTGCACACTCTCTCACTTAATTGGGTTTTAAGAAAGAGAGGACGGCAAGGACGAAAGGAGGCAATCCTTGAAAAGTTGAGAGAAAGAGCTCAGGATGGGGATGCCCTGTGACTCCTGTGCAAATAGTAATGTTCTTTTTGTTGAAGGAAGAGTTAAGAGTCGGGTTGAAGGTTTTATAATTTGGCCCTGCTTCTGCGCCTGTAGCAGGAATCAAACATGGAAGAAGGAGCCAAATTGCAAGGAAGAGCTAAAGTTGGAAAGGCTCTTTCTTTTGTTTAATCTCCATGTCTGAAGATTCACCTGCTTAATTTCTGCCTGAGGGCTACTACTAGAGAAACAAGAAGTGGACCACATGAAAAGAAAAAAATGACAACTACTTGGGGAACTGTAAACACATACATATATGAGGGTCAGTCCCATTAAGTCCAGATGCATGCTTACCTGGGAATGAGAGTAACTGCTGTTACCATTTGGACTGGCATCTGAGTAAGCATAGTTAAGACAAAGCTGTAAGAATTTCTCTTCCACTTTTTTCGTACACCTACTCCAGATGAGTGCAAGTGAAAAAGGAGTCCCCACAGTCTGGGTTTTTCTTTCAATACTACTAGAGTGTAGAAGCTTAATTTTTAAGGAAAGTATGTAAAGTATGCAAGCTTGAATAAACCATCCTGTTTCTGGATACCAAGATTTGTATAGAAGTAACAGCCTGCAGTCCTAAACCTACCTACTTAGGAGTAAGTTCCATTTAATTCAGTAAGGCTGATTTCTGAGTAGACATGGTTAGGTTTGTTCCAATTATTCCAGGGCTGATAATCCTTTTTGAGGATAATTCTTACTAGTTTCTTTTGACCTGTATCTGTTGGGAGGGGCAAAGAGAATGCCTCACAGCCTGTGTGGAAAAATGACACCTTTTTCTTTGCCATGTAGTGTGCATGTATTCACTTCTTTTTCCATCCTCCGTGGGAGAGGGAAAGGGTAAGGACAACAGAAGGACCCCCCCATTTTGCTTACCTTTCTCAATGCCAAATGGGGTTCACTATGGAATCCTAATGCAATCTAGTTGCAAAGTTGGATCCAAGAGCCAAATGTGGAGTTTCCAAACATGACTTTGCTGAGAGGAGATTGGGATGCACTGAATAGGAGTTTCCCTGGGTTACAGAGCTTCCTGCCGGAGTGTGATTTGCTGTCTTTGAACCGTAGAGCTAAAGATTATGCACCTGTTCATCCCTTGCCCAGCTTATCTGAGGAGGTTTTGAGAGATAGTGGTAGTTGTGTCTTGCTGAAGTTTGTTTAGAGATTCATGTTTATCTAACCCTCTCTCCTGGCTAACTTTGATTGGTTACTTGTGGCGTTCTTTTCAAAAGTTCTTTATCTGATTGGCACCAGGACTTGTCACCTGGCTGCTGGAGATGCATGTTCCATCAAGAACTGTGCATGGCTGTGCAGTTCAAGAAGGAAAATTCTTTCCTCTAATGCAAGTTTTATAGCTGTATATTGCCTGGCAATGCATGCCTAGTTATGTTGTGCACATTTTGGAGGGTATACTACGGAGTTTTTAAAACAGCTTTAACAAATTGGACCGTAGTTCACTTTTAATAATTGGCATGTTGTAGCTTGTATTGCTAACAGTTAAAGTTGATTCCACAGTCTGGTGTAGCTAAACCTGTTAACTAAAACTGGCCCAGTTTTTGACTTGGCTGTGAACTGACTAGGAGATGATTGCACACCAGAGGGTTTAGAGCTGCTATCAATTTTAAAATACCAATACTGCCTTTCTTACTTGGGGAAAATAGTAAGAGCCATCAATGTTGTTATAATTAAAACACTTGCACAAAATGGTGATGAAGCACCTATACAGAAATACAAATTTACAAGATAGCAAGTTATAAACTGCACAGGCTCCCCAGACCATGTTGCCTGAACCAGAGATGGAAATATAGTGAGGGTGGAGAGTTTGCCTCTATGGAGTGAGGATGGGTACTAAAGAACTAGGCAAGTTACAGTTGGGGCATAAGTGCAGCAGGAGGGGAAGCTCAAATTCTCTGCACTCACTGCTCAGAGCAGAGTCAAAATAGACACTTAGGTTTGGGATATGTGCAGGTGAACCTAGGTTTTTTTGGGGGGTGTAACAGTATTGTACAGATACAGACTTGAGGGATACATGATTGATGTCATATCACTGTTCACCTCACATTCTGTGGTAAACCCAGATTTTCTGATTACTGTCCAAGGACCCATTTTCTAATTGGTGTTTGCATATTCAGTCGGAGATCCAGAGGTAGCTTTGAAGTCCTTGCTTTATGCTGAGATGCAAACAACAGCACTTTCTGGGTGCTGTTCAAGGCTGCATGGGGGAGGAAAAGCAAAGCGAACCTTGATTATGTACATGGTATTCCCATGTGCCAGATGTGTTGGATTACAACTATACTGAACAAATATAGCAGCCGAGTTTCTATGGTGTGCCACAAAAGGCAAGCACACAAGGATACCTGTCTTCAAGTTAAACTCACTACGTACAACAGTAGATTATAAGCCCGTCAATTTACAACATTTTTGGTGAGTTTTTAAAAAGTGTGACTACTTTTGTGCTCTTTGCTTTTATTCTGAAGGTTATCTAGTTTGGGACATATTGATTGCTCCTCTCCAGTTTGGTTGCCCTTCAGGCAAGGAATCTTTAAAAAAATAAAATAAATCCATGTGTTCCAGGTGTCCAGAAAATGAACGAATGAAAAGTGTTAGGATGGCAAACTTGAGGGCCACATTGAAGAAATATTTGGCAATGCTTGGAGTCAGACTTGCATGCTACAGTGTAATCTTTAGTCTTGACATTTAAAAATAATGGGATGAATTAGAAGAGACAATAGGGGG